TTAGATAAAGATAAAAATAATTATACTAAATTTTATCTAGATATAAACTAAAAATTAATACGTTTTTATCTAGATAAATTTCAGATAATTTCATGTTTAATTTTGCAAATATTCAGTGATATAGTTATTCATTTTTAAAATAAAACATTAAAAATAAATAATAATATGAAAAGTCATTCTCTGACTTAATTAAATAATAATACAAAGAAGCTACTAGCTAACATTTAAAAAAATATTAATAATAAATGCTTTTAAAATAATAATAATATTCAAACCATATTTGATCTACAACATAAAATTATTTTTAAAGTTCTATCATTTAACCTATTACGCCTAGGTATTATAACTTATATTGTATTGTCTGGCCCTGGACTGGTGGCCGTAAAATTATATTGTCTTCAGTTTTGTCATGCTGATACAGTATCAGTAAAAATAAGTAAATTGGTCAGTAATGGGATAAAAATATTGATTTTGAGCTAATATTTTATTCTAAATACTTTTAATGTTTTAACTTTTGTCAACAGAATTCCTGTACTTTAAAGATGTCGAAAAATCCTTTTGTGAACTGTTAGTCATGTAAACGAAAAAAGACCAGAGACCCAATTACCAAACCTAAAGAGAAATATTATGTTGTTTACATACAACGGTACGATATGATGAAGCGCACAGTAATAACCCTACCAAGTGGATTTGCAAAATGTGTCTAAGATGCGCGTTGAGAGAAGATACCTAACCAAGATATACCCCCCAAACTAACGAAAAAGTAATATTTCAGTCTTATTTTTATATTAATTATTTTCAAACATAATGTAAAAAGTTAATTTATTTTTATTTTGTTCAGAAATGAAGACACTCGTTACATTTGTCAGTACCTACTGTACAACTTATTTTAAAGGCGTGTTACGTTAAAGAAGGACTTGGGACCATATGAAAACACATCTAGCAGAACTATCTGACAATGAAGTTGAAGATGCTCCTTTAACAGAACATGCAAATGACGGTAATGACAAACTTGAGGAGAAAAATCCATTCAACAACATTTGATTTATTTGTATTTTTTTAAATTTTATTTTAGATATTATTTTTTAATTATTATTTCCACACATATATATATATAAATAACAAATACGAATATATTTATAGAAACTGTTACATATTTAGCAGACAGTAGCCTTTAAGTGATCACTTGCTAGTTTCTGTCTACTATAATTATTACTATATACGCCACTGATACTAATAAGGCTCTTCTCTCAATCTCTCAATACGCATTTCAAACACATTTTACATACCCATTTGAAAATATAATCACTGTGCAATTCTTCATGCGGTATCATTGAATGTGGACAACATAAAATTACTTTTTAGGTTTGATGGTTGGGACTCTGATCTTCCTTCGTTCACAGTTCACTAAAGGATTTTTCAACATCTTTAAAGTACAGGAATTTTGTTGACAAAAGTATTAGCTATATTAGCTCAAAATCAATATTCTTATGGCATTACTGCCCAATTTACTTATTTTTACTGATACTGTATCAGCATGCCAAAACTGAAGACAATATAGGCTACTTATCAAGGGCCGGACTGAGTAATTGTTAGAGGTATTCCTAAAATATAATTCTACAATTCCGTCCTCAGCACCAGTTCAGAGGTTATTTAGTAAGGCAACACAAGTTTTAACACCTATGCGTAATAGGTTAAATGATAGAACTTTAAAAATAATTTTATGTTGTAGATCAAACGTGGTTTGAATATTAATATTATTATTTCAAAAGCATTTATTATTATTTTTTTTTTTTAATGTCAGCTAGATGCTTCTTTGTATTATTATTAAATTAAGTCAGAGAATGACTTTTCATATTATGTATTTAAAAATTAAACTATTTTATTTTTAATGTTTAAATTATTTATTTTTTTAAAAATGAATATCTATATCACAATTAAACATGAAATTATCTGAAATTTATCTAGATAAAAATGTATTAATTTTTAGCTTATATCTAGAAAAAATTTAGTATAATTATTTTTATCTTTATCTAGAAGTTATTTAGTAAGGCAATACAAGTATTAATACCTAGGCGTAATAGGTTAAATGATAGAACTTAAAAAATAATTTTATTTTGTAGATCAAACGTGGTTTGAATATTAATATTATTATTTTAAAAGCATTTATTATTATTATTTTTTTTTTTTATGTCAGCTAGAAGCATCTTTGTATTATTATTAAATTAAGTCAGAGAATGACTTTTCGTATTATGTATTTAAAAAATAAACTTTTGTTTTTAATGTTTTAAGTTGTGTATTATACAGGGTGTTTCTTTAGATTACAGAGTGATTGGAAAAATATAAAATTTTTAAAAATTAACTTAACTTATTCCGTAAAATGAAAATAAACTCGTTAATTTCACGTTAATTAAAAAATAAATTTAATAAGTTAATAGTTAAGTTAATGAATATCCAAAACTAACTAGTTAAGTTAAAAAGTTAAGATAAAATTAACTTTTTAACTCGTTAATGCCCAGGCTTGAATAATAGTACCTAATATAATTTTAAAAAAACCATTACCTACTATAATAATATGTTTCCAATTTTTTATGCTCGCCCGTTTTGTTGATATTTATCCACCTCGTTTTTACCAAAGGTTTGTCTTAAGTTTTATTGGATTCTTTATATCAGTATCAGGAATGATATATTATGATAGGTTTGGCCAAACTACGGATCATCATAATTTTCGGATATTTTGTAGGTCAACATTTATTATCCAACCATTGAAATTACCTATTTATTTTTTAAATGTTTTAATTTAAATTAACTTTTTTTCACTCATTAGTCGATGAAGATAAATATACAAATGTTTTGACCACTTCCGTTATTTGTTCTAGTTCTACGATAGGTATTGCAAAAAATATTTTGAAAATTAACGCAACATTTTTAAATACGACCCGTGGTGGCTGGATACACACGACACCTTTTGTACACTGTACAGGTAGAATCTAGTGGTTGTTGCCTACTTTTATACACCTACTTTTACTTATAAAAATAATTGCTGATTGTCGATTGCAATTGCAATAAAATTATAATATAAAACAAATTCGTAAATCTAAAAAAAGTAGTTTTTTGGAAAGCTCCAATTAGAAATAGTTGAAAATAGTAAAAGAATAGTAAATGGAATTTTTTTTATGATAAAAACAGCTTTATTGGATTAATTTAAGATGTGTAGTTTTATTTGGTATTTGAAACGAACCGATTAATCTAGTAGATAAGTGACAAGAATTTATTCTGAAAAAGAAAATTTGAGTTCCAAAATTATTAGAGACTCGACACTTTATTAACAAAGGTCTTTAAGACCATAATAACACATTTAAAGAATTTTAACCAAATTAAAGTCCAAGAAAATTATAACCTGCCAAATTTGTTGCCACTCATGCCTCTTAAACAGAAATATGTTTTATTATATTGTAAGTCCAGAAATCTACGGTCCAGATTTGTATGGTCTACAATTATACAGTCCAGATATGTACGGTTCAGATTAATACGGTCTAGATATGTACTTTCCAGATATGTACAGTCCGGGCTTTTACGGTCCAGATTTATGAATTCCAGGTTTATACGGGTCACCGGAAAGGTTATACCAATAATCATGTACAGCGTTTTTCAAGTTTTTGCTACTCCGATTACGGGCGAAATAATTATCGTACGTAGGTACTTTAACCATAGACCGTTTTTGAATCCTTGTACCTACACCAAAATACCAGGATCTGGAGTTTCGTATTGATCAAACGAAAACCCTAAATCCAAAATACACGTAACTACGTAATTTGTTAAGTACAAAAAACAAACGAAAAATCATAACTCCCGAACCAAAAGTCGGATAACCTCGATCTCGGTACACATCGATACGGCGCTAAGTCCTCTATAACATCCGATTGCAAAAGCGGCTCACCGTGCTAAAAATGTAAGTGCCCGTGCCAAAAACCCCGAATAAAGCAAATTTTGAACTTTTGAAGGCCCAAAAGATGGAGAAAAATGGCTCCATATAATATTTATAAATATAAATAAACCTAAAAAGAAACAGATTAGAACATTAGCTGGATTTGGCCTACAAATTAGTAGGTACCTACAGTCAATGTTTTTAAAAAAAAATTTTCATATTATTTTAAGTATAAATAGAATTGTCCTAAAATGATATATTTTAACTATTTTGAAAATTTTTTTTTAATGACAACATGCTTTTTATTCCATAGCAGAATATATTTTTAGCACTTTGAACGAGTAATTACCTAGTTTATTAATCATTTGTATTTAAAGTTTAGATGAGCTGAATAGAGAGTGGTACCCCGCATTAGGTTGGTCTACTACTCCGCTCATTTGAACTTAAAATACCAATAACTAAAGTCTAAAGAAATAAACTAGGTAGTAGGTACCTACCAACTTGTCCAAAATTTGATTTTTATATCCCGATTAATATTCTGCATCTGAATATGAAATTTAAAAAGTATGTTATTAATATTGTCATTCCAAAGAAAACAAAACTAGAAAAATAATCATGATGAAAACTTTTTTCCAAAAAATATTGTTTTTAATGACTTAAATTATATGAAAAACATTTTCAAAAACGTTAGATTATATTATAATGTAGTTTTTGAAATAATAACTGTCTTACATTAAATAAATCACCACATATGTAAATTGTTTAAAATTATAATTAAGGCTAGTTACGTACTCATTAAAGAACATAATATGGACTTATTTAAATCAAAAAAGCCTCCTCATGTGTTATTTGTGTGCTGTACTTAGTAAAATGTGTTTACTACGAAAAATTACCAAAAATATAATAGGCACTGAATCGGACGAATATCATTTTCGAATAAGTGTACGGAGGACGATAATAATAATGACAACAAAATAAACATATCACTGTAAAATAACTACAAAAAAAATTATAAAATGTTATTCAACTATTGCGGAAAAAAATGTAAAAAATATGGTGGCGGACGGACATGTCATCGCTGACGGGTGAACTTGACCAATTCCGCCAGCCACTCCATGGCGTCGTTTAGCCCGTCGTCGGCCGGCTGTCCCGGCACGGCCACAGCGTCAGTGCTGGCCAACCGCCACGGACGGTCCTGTTCCATGTGCTCGTGCAGTTTGAGAGCTCCGGCCATGGCGGACGCGCCACACGCATCCGGCGCTGCCGTCTTGTTAGCCACGAACAGTATGGGCAGGTCCGGTCGGTCGGCCACGTCCGGGTGCCGGAGCATCATGTCCAACTCGTCCTTGACCACAGCGAACCGCATCTGGTCAGTGCTATCTACCACGAACACGATGGCGTCGCACTGGCCGTACATCGACTCCCACATGCTCCGGTACCCGTCCCGGCCAGACATGTCGCTGGCCGTGAACTTGACGTTGTTGACTGCAACAGTACACACAGAACGGACAACGGATGAGTCAGGAGATATCGGTACTAGTTACAAAATAATCTTTTAAAAAATATTTTAAATTGGCATAGGTTCGTGTTTAAAAAAAGGTCTTCAATCAAAATGTATTTAAATATATTTCTCAGTTATTTAAATGCGAATATCTAGATGGAAACATAATTATATTATTGTAACACAATATGTACCTACTTCGAATATATTCAAATTCTAATTGACTAGTTACGCTAACCAATAAATATTTGAAAATGAATCCCTACAAGTTAATAGGTACCTAACTTACATAACATACAAATATAAATAGATAGGTACAAAATTATTTAATAAAAAAAAAAATACCAACATAATACACATTTATAATTGTTAGCAAGTAGTAGGTAAGTACTGATGGTGTAGTTAGCTGGTACTGACTGAAAAAAGTTATAATTTAAATTGCATGTAGAAAACCCATTGTTGTTACAGCTTGTAAGTATAATTTAGTTTGTAAAATTAATATAAAAATATGTCATTTTCGCAACGCAACTCTAGAAAATGTAGGTAGGTACATACCTACCTACTGTGTATTAAAGACGTTAAGAGGGCATTGAAAAAAACTGTTTTACGTGGTACAATTTATTTTAACACTCCCTCTGTATTTATAGTAGGATTACCGAAATTCCACTACGCATAGGGAAGAACTGTATCTGTATCGTAGCTTATTTATTTGCTAGCACTAACCAATCATTTTTAATTATTAAATGAAAAAAACAATAAAACTAATTTTCTCAAACTGATAACTTAAAATGTATTTGTGTTATCCAAATAACGACTGTTCTAACTAACGATTGTTATTATTATTGTATGTAATTGGGCCCGCACCCGTTTAATCTAAAATAAATAAATAAGAGAGTATCTGTGTTTGAATTTGAAAAAAAATTGAAGGGGGATCCAGCAGATGTTAGACGAGAGAGCGTTCCACATAAAATTAACCGCTTCACCTCCACATCCCTTCCAACAACAATCATACCAAAATAATATTAAATTTGTTTTACAAATAAATAAAAAAAAACAATTATTAATTAATTATTTTTTTAAAACATAAAATTGGTCAATTATTAATAAAATAAGCATTAAAAAAGTCCATAAATATATACTATTTTCGTTTTTATTTTGTGCATAGACCTTATTGCATTAAGAGGACGCCACACCCGCATGTGTTGTCTCCGTCTTACAAATGTACAACATAGCAAAAACTGTTTTGCGCGGAACAACTTTTCTCGCACCATATTTGTTGTAGAACTACCAAATTTTCACAGCATTTAAAGAAGAACTTTATCTGTGCAACAGCGTGCTCTTTTTTTCAATAGCACTATCCAATCATTTTTTATAAGCAAATGAAAAAACCAAATTTTTAGAAGCAAATAACTTGTATTGTATATATGTTATTTAAAATATGGGAACGCTGTTTCACAGATAAAGTTCTTCTTTAAATGCTGTGAAAATTTGTTAGTTCTACAACAAATATGGTGCGAGAAAAGTTGTCCCTCGCAAAAGAGTTTTTCCTATGTTGTACATTTGTAAGACGGAGACAACACATGCGGGTGTGGCGTCCTCTTAAGAGGATACTCTACCCACATAAACAAGCGCAAACGCATACACAGTGCGAATATACCTACATTGTACGTTCTAAATAATCCATTTAACTCTGTTATGTTTAATATTGGAGTGTATTTACCTATTATCAAATTTAAAAGTAAGAATATTATCTAGTGAACATCTTTGAGTTTTAAAGCGAGTTATGACTATTTTAAAATTGTAAATTGTTTGTACATTCAAAAAATGCTCATATGCTTTAAAATTCAAATTAAAAAAACCCAAAGATGTTCAAATATCCTTACTTTTAATTTAGACGATAGGTAAATTCACTGAAATATTAATCATAACAGAGATAAATGGATTATTTAGAAAGTACAATTTGCGATGTTACGCATTTGTAAGACGGAGGCTGAGTTACTATAGTATGTTCACGCTGTGTATGCGCTGTTCATGTGGGTGTAGCATCATCTTAAGGTATATGCGACTAAGCACAAAACAAAAACGAAGCTAGTATATATTTATGGACTTTTTTAATGCATAATTTATTAATAATTGACCAATTTTATGTTTTAAAAAAATTATTAATTAATAATTGTTTTTTTTATACATATTTGTAAAACAAATTTAATATTGTTTTGGTATGATTGTTGTTGGAGGGGGTGTGGAGGCGAAGCCATTCCGTAATGTGATGGTTAATTTTATGTGGAACGCTCTCACATCCAACATCTGCTGAGCTGCCCTTCAAATTTTTTTCCAAACCAAGAACTGATAAAGTCATAAGTAATTTATAGTGTAGGTAACCAAAAAATCTAAAACAAAATAGTTTTTTTTATAGATATTATAAGTTCAAATTTGGACGAAATTAGATTTTTAAACGTAAAATAAAGATTATAGATATTTTGTTGTAATTTAAATAGATAAAATTAGCATTTGACAAAATCAATTTTGTTTTTTTTTTGTGTAAATTTAAAACTAATAACCGTAGATTCTTTAAATATTTAATTTTCGTTATAATTTAGTTCCACTAAAAACCGTAAATATTACTGTTTTTTCCTTAATGTTTTTAAAATATTAAATTATTTTAAATTGTATTGTTAATTATTATTTACAAAATAAAATGGTTTTTATTTATTCCACTATAGTGCATACTATGATAAGTACCTATCTAATAAGTCCTTATTACTATGTATTATATCAACAAAAAAGACTTAACAGGAAAAATGCACAGGCCTTGTACAATTGTTGGATTTTTATAACTATTTTTTTTTCTGATAAAAGAAGACTTCCTACAGGCCGCATTGAACTATTTTATTTCAAATAATGGTTAAATAATTTGTAAAAAAGGCTTTAAATTGGCTTATTTTTAAAGGCAGATTATAAAGTTTTATATTTAAATATTAAAAAAAACGGAGTTCAATGAGGCCTCTAGAATATTACCCTCTATTACCTAGTTAAAAATATATATTTATATATATCAAATTTGGTTGATTCTACAAAACAGGATAATTATTCCTGTAGAGTGTATTTTTGTGGACAAATGACATTGGCACCGGGCGCCATAATTAATAAATAGTAAATACCTATATTATTACAAAAATAATTTAAAATAGTATTACCTATATTTAAATAATAACACAAAAAAATAATATATTTGTATATTATATTTCATAGTACAGTGATTATCCACACAACAAAATAGTAGATTGTAACTATACTTAAAATATTTCTATTAATCTTATAAAATATAAGATTAATAATCTTAATTAATATTTAACTCAATGCATTTTAAATTAATATTAAAAATTAAAATTAAAATTATTCTTAATCATATAAAGGAACTTAAATATAATATTATATTATATTATGTATGTATGACATTAAAATTAAAAATAAGTAGTACATATTCAGTAAAATGTTTGATTATCCACAAAATACATTTTTTTTGTGATAAAAATTAGTGTGACTATGTAATTTTAAGTATTTCAAATTGTAATACATCTTTAAATAATATTAAATATTATCATACATTTTTTTCATTTTAGATTGTACCTAGTAAGGAAATGATAAATGAAATAGGTTTTTATACAAATTTAAAAAAACTTAGGAGATACTTACTTTTATACAAGTAAAATGAGACATTTTAATATCACAATATAATATTATATATTATTACAATATAATCTACAATGAAAAAAAATATTATATACAACATACAGAGGTAAATGAACCAAATTTGTATTTAAGAAAGATATGATTAATTAATATTAAAAAATAAATAAATAACATAATTTGTAAAAACAGAAGATTCATTGTATAATGTTTCAAATCTCAAACTCTTTAATTGTTTTATTATTTGTTTAGAATTATATTACAATGGGTAAATTATTAGTTCGATGTTACAACAGTGATACAGAGATCATGGATAAAAATTATCGTAAATACAATTATTGTAAATTTATATGAAAACTTATATTTAATTAAGTTTCATATCAATAAATATATATAAATATGGCTTATCTTAAAAACGTCTCTCACAATCATATGAATTAAGACATATTAATGCTTGCCATGGTATACCGTTGATTGTGTGATCTTTAATTGTACTTATTGCTGAAGGTAAAGCAAATGTATGAGTTATTCGAGAGTATTCTGGCAGTATCCATTTTTTACACAACATACAGCGACCAACCACTTCAAAGTATGTCCAAAGATTACGCGGAATATCCTGCCTCTTAAATGGTATCCAATAATGCAGCAAATTGAAAAATGCCAAATGACTTAATGGTTTTATATCTAATTCAAAACTACCTTTCTCTGAATTTCCAAATATTTGTAAATAATTAGTTATGTGGTCGAACATTAAGGATTTCGGTAACTGAAACGAGTTATTTGATATGTCGATTTCTTTGAAGGTTCTACAAGATAAAATATGAGGAAAGTATACTAACAAGTTGTCAGCAACAAATAAGTTTTCGAGTCTCCTAAGATTACCAAGAAAGTGAGGTAAATATGCCTGAAAAAAAAAAAAATTTCAAATTATTTAAGTTATCAGATTGAAGCAATAATAAGAATATGTATAATGCATTATATTTATTATATTAATAATTATTTTTTCTTTTATATTAAATATAAATTTTGTGATTTTATCATAATTATAAATCTAGAGCCCGGAATTATATGCATTGGCATGTTTATTTATAGTGTACACTTTGTTTTATTTTGAATATTAATTGTAGGATTGTAGGATTTTTTTATCAGTGTTTTGGTTAGGTACATTTAAAAAAGTATTTGATTTAGTTTTTGAATTAAATATAAAAAATCATATATTAATGAATATGAAGGTCTGGTCAAAAAACAAGATAGCCACAAAAATAAATGGCTATTATTCGTTACAGAATTAGCTCATATCTTGAAAAATCCATCAAATCACCTAATAATGCATCTTTATTAATATGGTTTAATCATTAGACTCTAATGTATTCATTTTAACAAAAGTTTAATAATTATGAACTCAATATTTTTGAAATAGTTTATTTTATTTGCTGAAAAGTTTTTAAAATGGACTTGTCTGATTCTTGGTCAGAGACCTTTAATATTACAAATTACAATAAAAACATTTACAATATACCCAAGATAGTATACTTATTTAAAAATACAACAAATATGTAAGGTGAAGGTGGCTTATTATAAAAAAATTAATTAAAAAATAAGATAAGATTCAACAAAGTAAAATAAAATATCAATAACTTATTGTAATATATTAACACCCAATATAGTAAGAACTAATGTATAGCAAATTTAGTTTCATATTGGACCAAAAAAAGCAAATGCCTTCAGTTAAATTAAAACTTAAGTAGGTAGTTTAGTGTACAATAAAAAGTAATAGAATTGAGCAGAGAATTGCTTAAGATAAAAACATTTTATTAAAAGCAAAAATTAAAATTAACTATTTTTTTTATACATTCACTCTCCTCTCTGTTTGTTAGGCAAATAGACTTGTAAAAAATATAAAACTGATTAAAAATATTACAATAGACCCAGCACCCTCCATTTGACTTAAATTACCGTTAAAGATGATTTACAATTTTCGACATTGATAATATAAGTTATATTTCAATTTCAAAGTTAACATATAACATAGAGCCAATATGAAAAGTTATTTGACTTTGTTTGCTTCTTGTGTTTTGTTGCAAATTATTATTATTTTTTTTTAGTAACAAAAATTATTTCCTAAATAACCCAGAAAATATAGTAAGGAATCTGTAACAAAGTAAAATTAAAATCAGGTTTTTGGCACTGTGTGAATTTCTCCTGCTTTTTAGGACTTCCATGGCACACAGAACACATGATGAAAAAAGAATATTGCCTAAATCCGAGCCCTTAAAAATAGTTCACTTTCAACCGTGGGGGGGGGGGATCGCTGGCTATGGTACTGATGTGACACAAATGGTACATAACTCAGTAATTCACTGTATGAAACTATGAACCAGGATTTTACCTTATAAATATGCAAATGCATTTCTTGGCTAAAATGTATGTAAATTATAAGTGTAATGAGCAGTTATCTTCAAAATGTTTGTTGGTTGTGAGATTAAGGCACTTGCAACCCTATCAATTTTTCATCAAAGCAACCTTAGCGGTTGACAAATATAAAGGTACTTCTGGTGGTTTGATTTCAAAAATGTAAATATTTTTGACTTAATAAAGAAGTTTACTTTGCATCAATCGGAGCATATATTTTTTATAGTTTTTAATGTATTTAATATAAAAAAATTTAATATTTATAAAATTTAAAATGTTTATTCCCGTCAAGAATTTGATAAAATTGAAAAGATACGTTGATTTAACCCAAGTAATTTTGTTTATGGATTCAAAAATCTTTTAATTTTAAACTTTTTTAAATCAGAGCTTGTAAGTAGGTACTTTACTTTTTGTCAGGCATAATATACTCTATATAGCTATCTCATGTCTATAAATTTATTTTGATTATTTTGATCTATTGTCTCAATGGCATGTGCATGCGGGCGTATAACCTAAACAGTAAACACAAGTCCTTAATTATGACACATTTTAAAGGGTCTTAACTACAACCAAATTCAGATTATGCCGAGGATTATACTGATTTCAAATTGCTGCTTATTTGCACAACCTGTTAACTGTACAATCACCAAAACAGTTTATTTGAAACTAGCTACTTGCTAATTGAAAACCACATAGTCAAAACATGTCTATGATTTTTAGAATGATCAATTTTTTTAACTAAGGATTGAATATTTAAAACAGTGTTTCTCATAAGTAATTACCTAATATTGTAACCAAAAACTCTAAAAAATAAATTAACACAGTTTTTTATTGTAGACATTTTAAGTTCAAATGTATATTAAATTAGAAATTTAAATGAACAATAACAATGTTAGTATTATTTAATTTTAATTCAAAAACATTATTTATGGGGAACTTAAAAAATTATAAATTTTAAGCTATTACTTATTTGTATCATGCACCTATTCACACTGTTCTATTGAAGGTGGTATTGACTCAACAATTATTAACAATAATATAATATGATAGAAATATAGACTATAATTGTACCTAATAATTAAACATTAATTAATACAATAAATGCAATGTTTTTTAAAAATTAAACTTTCGTAATACTATTATTAAAATGAATTACTGTCAAAATTACTTTAGTAGCAATAACACGGTATAACTACCAAATTTGATTAAAAAAAGTTGTATGATCTATTTTTTTTTCAGTTATTTTAATTTTACATTAAAAGAGTATATTTATTTGTTGGGATGGTTAATGAAAAGTAATGACTGATAAAATGACTTTAACTTAATTATTATATTTTAAAATTAACAATAATAATAATATTAAATCGACCTCAAAGTAAATTACCTACGGGCCTAAGAGTTTATAGCTGCGGCACTATGTATGCACCAAAAATAATATAAACGATAACTTCTATATTAAACACTATATAGTTTATCAATGCATTGAAGAAAGAAGTTAGAAAACCAAAGGACAGTTTGTAAGAGTGCATAGTAAAAAAAGACTTTTAGTAATTATGTAATTATTATTAATAGTAATCAATTCATAAATTACCAGACTATTATTGGATGCAGATAACGTTTCTAGATTTATCAAGAAGAATATTTCAAATGGCAATTTTTTGATACCAACGGAATCCATTTTTAAGGTTCTTAATGTATAGGAAATTGTGTTATGAGATATAAAATTCCAGAAGACATCTTGTTCATTTTTTGAAGTAGGTAGTTTACTACCTGTAATGCTAAGATATTTAACGGGTAAATAGCCAACTTGTGCAGGAATTGTTGGTAAATCACAGTCTTCCAACACAAGATTACTCAAAAATCTCATGTTCAATATACGGTTGTCAAAATGACTATTGGCTACAAAATACATTGTCGATGGATGAAAACGATTTAAAATTTCATTTTTAGAAGGTACACGCTTAGGCATTGGACGTGTACTGATGATTACATTGTTCCCGTCAATAATGTTTTTAATTTGACGGTAGAACATGTAAAGCAGGTTCTTGTCTTCGCATACTATCAACAATGCTTGTCTGGGCTCGCTGAACTCCAATCCCATCTTGCCTTCTTTGATGAAATTGCGGTAAATGTTTTGCAACATGGTGAGTTTGTACGATTTAATGGTCGGGTACATGGAGTTCTTCACACACACATAGTATTCGTCGTTTTCTTGTTTGGTCATTACACACGACCTGAGGGACCGTGTGTTCGGCCGTGCAGCAGTTAGATCTTGGATAATGAGCGAACAGTGGATTAACATCGTTATTACAACACGCACGTTCACGATTATTGATCAAAAACGAAAAGTATTCAAGAGCACACAAATTAATAATCGATCCGAGTCAGTTAACTACATTGAATGTACGATAGTCGTTTACGGTTTCGGTAATCAATATTGGACATTTAGACGCCGTTCAATTCGTTATCACAAAGTTTAGCGGCAAGAGTGCGTAGTACACAAATGTAATATTATGTAAGAAAAAAATTGGAAGCAACGCTATATCAGCTGATTGGTTGTTTGTATCTGTGTGGTTTTTTTTTTAATCCCTCCATGAATACTCCGCTGCATGGAGGCACAATAACGTATGAGTATGAAAAATTCAATACGCCATAATATTATTATTATGCATTACTGAATAATTATGTACCGACTCGTATCGATTTTTAGGGTCCGATACGAATCGGTACGTATCGCTGGTATACCTCTACGCCATGACGTACGCCTTGAACGCTCAATATTAAACCGATATTATGACACGATTCACTCCAATTTCTGTCTCGAAAATCTTGATGGTTTTGCTTCCGTAAAGATATTAATATATTAAATCACCATGACAAGTGCCGCGCAATATTTTGATTAAAAATAATTTCTGACTATTGGTTGTTGGCTTGTTGCTACAGGTTATTCATCACAAATTGAACACATTTGAATACGAGCAGACGATCAGTAGGTACCTAGCGAAAGAAACATTCTTAATGATATTTAAATGTGTGAATGCCTAGCTATAGGGCACAAACTGAAATACATGAATTTGTGATGGGTAGGTACATAACTGTATTACATTTGCAGTGTTGGGTAGTAACGTAACGAAAGTAACGCGTTACTGTAACGCCGTTACTTTGTTTGTAACGCGTTACGTAATTTAATTACAATTATTTTCAAATAACGAAAATGTAATGAAAATTACTTTTGATGAGTAATTTACATAGTATAACGCGTTACAGTTTTAAATTATTTAGTACCTATTGCGAATTTCAAAAAAAAAAAAAACTTAAAAATATAATGTCTAATGCGGGTATTATTTATCATACAAGTGGTTAATTATTATACGTTCCTAATGTTCTTATTAACTATTGTCTATTATTAAGCATAAACTATACGTCTGTACATGCACTAAAAATAAATATTGATGGATAACCAATGATAAATCGAATTATTTACATTGCAGTGTTATAAATAATTATTATTGCTGTTTGGCATTTTACAAGAAACGGTGAAAATAATAAACTTATCTAATATCTTTATTAGTAATGACTAATGACTAATGAGTAATGACCGAATATTCATATGTACAATTTATTACTACTATTTTTAATAGTTATAACTTAAAAGTTATAAGTAATTAATATTGTTAGGTATGTATTTATGTTATTAACTGTAGGTACATCTTTTTCAAATTATACCATATCTTCTGTAGGAAGTGTATTTTTAGTTCCTTTGCTTTTTAAATGATAATAGCTAAGCAAGTAAAAAAAAAATTATAAAAAAAAAAATGTAACGAGAAAGTAACGTAGTTACTTTTCTATTTGAAAAGTAAAGTAATTTCATTACAATTTTATTTGAGTAACGAGTAAAGTAACTTCATTACATTTCTCTCTAAGTAACGAGTAAAGTAACTTTATTACTTTTTAAAAGTAATTTACCCAACACTGTACATTTGTAACTTGTACCTACCTTGTATTTTAATTATTTTGTTTGGTGTGACATATAAATATGTAATTAATAGATACAAATAATACTTTAATATTAAAATATTATATTATGTTTTAGATTTTGAGTGGAATGATGAATGTTTTGATTTAACATTGATTTTACCATGATGTTTTTTTTAATTTTTTTTGTCTGTCATCACCTTTTGGTACAAAAAAATGCTTTAATTTTTTTCAATAGCTTATTTTCTGGTGAACCTAGTTGGTACTTGGGGATCAAAAGTAAAAAATTCGACATAGTTTCCAAAAGCACCATGAAAAATAAACAAAAATTTAAGAGAAAAAATTGAGATCTTTACGCCATAACCAGTTTTCAAAAAAATCAATTTCATTTTTAGTTTAACTCCAAAAATAATGACCCTATATATACCTAAATAAATTTTTTTTCTTATATCTGTTTTTAGTAATAATAATAATTTTATTGTAACTAAACATATATAAGTACCTACCATAAAAAGTTACTAAAACTTTAAGGCTATAAATATCTCAAAAAGATTCACAATATTTTGAAAATTGTATGATGGACAAGAATTGCTTATGTAAATATTCACTGAAAATTAAGCTTATAATAAGCTAATGCTTATGTTGTGGGATTTAAAGTTCAATAGCTTAATTTTCACTGAATGTTTACATAAGCAATTCCTGTCCAGCCTCCAGCATACAATTTTCAAAATATTGTGAATATTTTTTAGATATTTATAGCCTTATAGGCATAAAAAAAATCTAATTTTATTAGTTAATTACTGTCGATAAAAAATTTTCGCTCGTTAAAAAACTTGAAAATTAAATACCAGTATCCTCAGAAGTTGTTAGTGTGAATTTAAAAAAAGTTTATCTTAAATCCACTGTTATTGTTGTGAGCTTTAACTATTTTGACAAAATTACGAAAATTGGCAAACTACCTATTCGAGTTAAAAACTTAAAAAGGTGGGTAAGTGGGATGTGTCGTTAGATATGTCGCTCTGCTGTACAGTAGGTTTCCAGTGGGTGACTGTATAATAGATTGTATTAAATTTTAATTCAATGATATAATATCATTGTATTAATTTGTATAAAAAAAACGATTCTGAGCGAAGACGGTCAGTCAGAATATGATATTACTATAAGTACCATATTTGATTATATTATTGTGAATAAAGTAATTTATACATAAATATAACCTATAAACCTTGAAACCTTGTTTTAAATTTTTAATCTTTAGCTATAAAAGTTTATTTTTTTATTTTTTTTTTGTGTCTGTCATTACCTTTTAGGACAGTAAATTAGTAAAAGTGCTTAGATTTTCTTCAATAGTATCTTTTCTGATAGGAAAGTGAATCTAGTTGGTACTTTGGGGGGGTCAAAAGTAAAAAGTAGCTCTGCTGTACAGTAGATTACAAGTGGGTCACTGTAATGGATGGTGTTAAATTTGAATTCAATGATATAATATCGTTGTATAAGAAAAACGATTCTGAGCGACAACGGTCAGCCAGCCTATGATATTAGGTACTAAGAATATTTGATGATATTATTGTGAAGTAATTTATATATAACCTATTTAAGTGGAACTTAGTTTTAATTTTCAATCCTTAGCTATAAAAGTTGAACATTTTATACATTTTTAACTACAAAATAATTATTACATTTAATTATTTTAAATTTGATAAATCTTGTCAAAATTTGAACTTTAAATGCTTATAAAAAAAATTGTGCCTTTATATTTTCAATGTTTTTGAACTGTTATTGTAACAATATATTAGGGGCTTTGCATTAAATTTTCATTCTTTTTTACCCAACAAATACATTATTATTAATATAAATAGAAAAAAAAACAAAAATTTGAAAACTGACAATTTCCGTAAACAGCTCAAAAAGAGTCAAAATATTATCAACATTTTATGGTGCATTGAAAATGAAAATATAAACATTCAGTATAATTTTCATGTATTTACATATATTCGTTTTTGAGTAACAACAAAATAACAAAATCGTTTTATGAGAAATCTAGTGAATATCCAATATCGTAAAAAATGAAATTCATACGCTCATAAAAATTTAATTTGATTTGCTTGAAGACATTTTTTTTTTTTTTTTGATACAGATAGACCAACTTACGAATAATCTTGTATTACATTTTCAAATCTTGAATTTAAAAATAAAATTTTTTTTTTTAATTTCTAACTCAAAATAATTTGCAAATTTTCGTCATTTTTACGTATTTTGTCAATATTTGAACTTTAAATGCTTATAAAAAAAAAATACTTCTATGGATGTTTAATTTTTTTTCATCTGCCTTTCAACTAATATACTAGGAGTCTTCTATTAAATTTTCAAGCTTTTTTAACCAACAAATACAATTTTGTTGATATTTATAGAAAAAAAAAACTAAAATAAATGGAAACTGAAAATTTCCGTAAAGAGCTCAACATAATACTTGGAAAATGTTATGGTGTATTGAAAATGCTAATATAAATATTCAGTCAAAATGTCATGTGCCTACGGCGGTCATTTGTTTAAGAGTTGCACCAAAAACCAAAATCAATTTTCTCAAAAACTTCCTAAAAATTCCCGTTTTTCTTTATTTTTTTTTTTTTCACGGCGTTTTTCTAAACTAATGGGAAATTTTTACTTACTCCAAAGTACCAACTAAATTCACTTTCCTATCAGAAAAGATACTGTTGAAGAAAATCTAAAAATTTTTATTGTCCTAAAAGGTGATGACAGATCATAAAATAAAAAAAATTAATAAAGAACACACATCATTGTAAAATCAATACATTCATCGTTCCACTATCAGAATCTAAAATTCAAATTCATAAAAATTGTGAATTATAAGTTTTCCTACATTTACCTAACAAAAAAAAAGTTTACCGGAAAGTCGAATTAATTTTTACTAATACCTATTTGAAGTTAAACTTGATATTCACCGGCAAATGAAGAAATTCTCACTACGATTTTCTTATTTATTGTTGTTATTCAAAAACTTATAACCGTAGGTACTTGAATCTTCATCATTGAATTTTTTTATAGATATACCTCATTGAAATTTTAAATTTGTTTGGTTTTTTTCTATAAATGTCATTAAAATTTTTTCATTGATCGAAATGCTTGACAAAATGAATACTAAGTTCCTCATAAGTAGTTATAATAGCAGTTGAGAAGTATAAAAGATTCATAGGCATGATTTTTCATTAATATTTAAAGTTCTAATTTTGACATAATAAATCAAAATTTTAAAAATTTTCAATTTATATATTGTAGTTAAAAAATTAAAAAATGTTCAATTACAGTAATCAATAGATTTAAAAAATCTATAAACACAGCTCTTTTTTACGGACATTTTAATGATTTTAAGATTAAATTTGGACGAAATTTCATAATAAAACCAAGAATAACGATTTCAGTTAGTTATTGTTGTAGGTATACTTTAAAAATATTAATCAAGAATAATTGACATTTTTGGATCCACGCTTCATCTACTCTCTAGACATCTAACATACAGCAACTTGTTACATACTTACCACCTTTTTTAGTTAAAAATGTACTATAGTAATGATCGTATTATGATTATTATTTATTATATTTTAATATTTATAACTTACAAAGAAAGTTGTAGACAAACCTATTATTATTTATAACTTATAAGACATAACATGAAAAAAACTTTACTAAAATACTTTTTTGATTAATTTTATTATTAGCTGTATTTTCGAATATAGTATATACTTTACATGATATTATGACAACCTATGTAATACATTTATTATTTAACACCTAGGAAGTAGCTCTGCCCCTCTTCTGTATTATAGACTATAGTCGGTATACAGTATGTTATTTTTCTAGGTAGTTACCTAGTATAATATATATGTAGATACGTGTAAATTGTATACGCAAATACTAAATATCAAATTTCCAACTTATTAGAACATAATATCTAACATGACGCTCATCATAAAACATATTTTTTTTATAACTCTTGGGTAACCAAAACTTATATGAAACCAAATATTAAATTTTCAAACATTATGTATGAATAATGAATATTAATTTAAATGTTATACATTATTATAACAAGGTACAAAATAATTTACAAATTTTAGTAATTTTAACGAATTTTAACTGCTTAACTTAATACAATCATACTCTCATAAAAAGTTAGATAGGTAGGTACTATAAATATAAGTTCAATACTTTTTAAATCCGATAAAAAATGTATTTTATTTTCAATTTCCAATCTGTTAGTCAAGCATACATTTTTTATCGATGGCATACCTAGGTATTTTAAAGAAAAAAAATTTTAAATGTCATAGTGAAATAATGTCTTAAATAGCTCAAAAAGATATTTTAAAAGTGACACCATGTATAAAAAATTATGATATGATACAAACATATTTAAGTGAAAATTTCAAGTAACAATGGTTATTTTGTTTTTGAATTACATCAAAATAACGCTATCAATATTTTGATGTATTGTTGTATAAAAATGTCCGTTTTAGTAATAATTATTAAGAAAAGTAATTTTTACTTTTGATAAATACCGTTTAATTACAGATATTATCTAAGAGTAAAAACAATAAATAAATATTAACAATTAATTATTTTATAAAAAACGATAGTTTTCCTATATAAATACCAAAATTAGAATTTTTCAATACCTATGATGTTTTAAATAAATTAAATAATTATTAGTCTAAAGAATTGATTATTAGTTTTACACACCACACAAATATTTGTTAGGTCACAAACAGCTGCTCTTGAACACACTTCAACAGTTCAACGTGTTTGCCAACAGTAAGTTAATAATGATAATAATACATCATTAACCTAATATTATTAATAATTAACTCCCCTTGTTTAAAATCTCATCTACCTGATCTGAAAATGAATATTCCACATTTCCACCCATATATCTAATACTAGTTAATAATTTCAGTTATCAATATGCGATTATCATCGAACTACGATGTATAAAATAATTTGTATGATTTATGAGTATGATGTAATATGAGTAATATGACACATGTATATAAACAGACACGGACTACGATTTAAACTGCGCTTATACACGAGACGTTAATCACGAGACTGTATACCATGCCCCAAGACCCAAACGTGATAGAATCAAACAATATTTGATTTTCAGTCCTGAGATACAAACGAAAGTGACGTGACTCAACTCAAATACACGCGCCGTGTAATTGTGTAAACTTAGCTTTACGGTGCCCGCTGCAGGCTGTAAACAATTGGGTGCTTTATAGTTTATTTTACTTTATAGTTTATTTTAGCCCCTTGTGAAAATATTGTTTTTAATATTTAATTTGTGTTTAAATAATATGTTTATTGTAAATTTGTAAATACAAACTTTTTACATTTTTCAATCAATATATACAAACCCCGTTATTATTCGACTTGATAAAACAATATTTTTATCTTCTTGAACAATTTGAAAAAAATTAAACTGAAAAGTCTATAGAAAAAAAAATTGTTTACATATTTTTTAGGGCTTTACCTCGTGATTTTAAATTTGTATTACATTTTTAAGTTTATGAACGAGCGAAATGATTTTAACAATAATAAAATTATAGAAAAAAAAAAACAAAAAAATCGAAAATGTCCATAAATAGCTCAAAAAAAGTTATCATATTTTGAAAATTATTCCTTGTATAGAAAATAATAGTAACATTAAGTTTTTGGATTACGACAAAATAAGAAGATCGATTTCATTAAAAACTGGTTTTGAGTAAAATTTCCCGTTTACTTATTTTTTATATTTTTAACCAAAAAATTTTATTACTATTAAAAAAAAATACTGGAAATGTTTACTTCTGACCACCCCAACATAACAAGTAACAAATAGATTTACTTTTCTGCCTGAAAAAATATGGAAGTTAAAAGTCGAAGCATATAATTATTGTTATGTCTCCTACTATCTAGGTTATCAAATTATAAAAAGTGCCTATAGAGTTCAGATACCTACACAAAAAAACACACATCATTGTAAAATCAATACATATATCGCTCTATTCAAAGAATCTAAAATTAAAAAAAAAAATTAATTTTTATCTAAATCCGTGGTCAATAAATCATGATCGTGTATAGTATGTAGCCTACACAGCTTATAGGTAGGCAGGTAACCAGGTATAGGTACCGCGTCTTAATACCGGGCCTGCACATTTAATATAATATATTAAATTATTATATTATATTATTTACGAGTTATAATATAGGACTATAATATGCATATAGTTGTACTGATGGCAATAATATTTTGTAATTTATATTTTATAGATACACTCACACACGAACATGTCAGTGGTAAATCCGACGGTGGGGGTGATCAGTTTCCTTGACAGTTGTTCACGGTCCGGTTTCAGACGGTTCAGCAGAGTGCTCTTTCCGGCGTTGTTCAGCCCGACGAATAGCACTCGTGCCTTCCGCCGGCGTGGTGTTCGCCTCACAAAGCCCAGTATCCTCGTCAGCTTCCGCCAGATGTTCATTATCCTCTATGATGGTGGGTGGTTGTGGCAAGAGGGAAGCGATAGCGACTGGTGATCTTCAAAAAAGGGCACGTTTCCGGTCAGTTGTCTTTGTCAAGTGTCGACTTAACTCGGCCGGATTTTCCCTTCAAAATATACGACGACCTGCACGACTCATCGACATTAATAAAGCCGCTCTCGCACGCGCGCTCACTCGTCGGCTAACTACTTAGGGTACCTACCTACCAACCCTGTTCCAACGACAATCGTCATGGTTACCCGGTACGAACTTGTACAACACAACAGCTAGGTATACTCGCGATCATTATAACTATTATTATTATATTTGGATTGATGCCGCTGTAAGGGACACAATATGGTAATAACTTATAATGATGTAATAATATTACATTAGGTATTATATATTATAATATTATAATATCAGTTTACAAGTTACAGTATATAATTTAACATACACTTCTTAGGTGTATTGGCTTGGATATAATATTTTGAGTATAAAGTTTATAATATCGTCATCAGCGTCGCAAACCTGAGATTTCTTTGACTTAATTCGGCATGGAATTCACGGTGATCAACTCTGACGTCGGGCGGTTTAGCCGAGACGACGATTATCATAACGATTCGGATGCATCGTCGACACGAAAATTCAAAGACGTCGGTTGTCTGGATCTCAGTTGTTCGAGTGAGATTATAATACTGTATTATAAACAACCCGTCTATAACTATTATAGACGATTTTATGATCATTTTTTTTTATTTCGACGTATCTTATTGCTTGTTTCTATAGGTATACCCATAGGCGCACATTGGGTGTGAATTGAGGGGGTGCTGGAATAATTTATGGTTCACAGATCCATGAGGGGCTTTGCCCCCCCCCCTAAATCCTAATTTTATAATAAACTGTATTGCAATAGATTTAATTTGTATACAATAATATGTAAATGGCAATGAATCAAATAGTCTGTATAATTGTAAATAAGACGCTAGGTTCACCCACATGGCCACATGTGTTGTCTCCGTATTACCAATGTATAAACAAAGGAAAAACTGTTTTGCAAGGGGATAAAAACCAATCAGGCTGTACTCTAAACTAAGAAACTAAATGTCCATACTATAAAAATGGGAACATTGTTTTTATATTTTCGATATCAAAACTAAAAAATAATTAATTTTTAATTTTTAAACTATAAGAACATTTTTCGTATTTGTGATATCAAATTCACTATGGGTTTTTTCGCGCGATCCTTATTGTATTATTCTGTAAAATGACAACACTACAACAAAAATGTACCGAAGAAAATAAAATTAAACGATTAATGACCGATACACGATTCTAAGAAAATCAAGATTGTAACGACAGCTTATAATTCTGGTATCATTTAAGATACTGAAACCAAACTTTTAATTTATTCTAGGTATTATTCAGTACAATAATACAATAAACAAAATACCCATAGTAAATACTACATTTTTTGGAGTTATACGCGATTTACTTTTAAAAATATTAATTTTTGATAAAAAAAAATAATTACTTTCTCAAATTAATAAAAATAATTTTCACATTTCTGGTTTAAATGCGTACGTTGGTTGATGATAGAACCATTATATAGCTTTATACAAGATAGAAAAAAAAGTTACGTAAAAATGTTGATTAGTTTTGAAGATACATAAAAAAATGTGTGATAGGTTTGGTTTTGATAAAAAAAAGTTAACTGCCCATAACTTAAAAAATAAAAAAAGTTAGACCCACTAGATCTTTAAAGGGTATTTCTTCATCATTTTGGGTATACCTACTTTCATATGACGTCGGCCGGCCACTTCACCCCGGGACACATTGTATATAAATGTATTTTAGTAAAAACCAAGTAATAACCAAAGTAATAAATAGAACATTTCGTAGCCAACCGTGAACCGTAAGATAATACAATTTTCTATAGTAATATGATATAATATGATTGCTGCATATTATTTAATGTTTCGACAAAAACTGAAACACTGAAACGTGCATTCACACAATACTGTTTTAAATTTTAATCGTAAATTCGTGAACAGTTGTCAATATTTGAAATGGAAAAAAAAATTCCGAACCAATAACCCACAATAATTTATAAATGATTAGTGAAATACTGAAATAAATTGAGGGTGCTAGTTTGAAGATTGGGGGTGCTAAGCATCCCCAAGCTCCCCTCTATGTGTACCTATGGGTATACCTGTACCGGTGGCCATGGGATTCATATTTTAATTTTAGTAAATTTAAAAAGTTTTGTTAGTTTATTTCATACATAGTTGGTAAATACTAAATATATGTATAATATAATATATGTGCAGTACGCCAGTACCTATATATTTTAATTTAATGAACAATACTTTTAAAAAAGGTATTATTTTATCGCACCTATATGGCTATATTATATTATTTAATCTTATTACTGAAAAATTTGTCAGGAAAAAATAATAAAATATATCATACAGTTGTTATAAAAACTAAAAGGTACCTACCTCAGTCCTCACATGACTACCTAAATTTAGTAGGCACTATGCAAAAACGCATTCGAATAAAATACCGTATACGTACGAGTCGTACGACCTATATACCGATATTAGTATAGTTGTATGAATGTAGGAAAAGTGTATACCTATACGTTCCATACTTCTACTATAGGTATAGCATAATTATTAAATTGGCCATCTGGTAAAACTATTATTCTTTTCTGATTTTACCAGTTTGTAAAATAAATCGATGCCCTTTCTATACAACTTAAACTAATAATTATAACTAATTTATAAGTTAAAAAATACATACGTATATATCATATTATATTATATAGTAGCCACTAGCCAGTACCCCGCGCAGGCACCGTTAGAAAATTTAAAGAATTGTAATATTTAAACATGGTTTTACTAATCTTACAAATAATGAATGTTTAATAATTTCATAATCTACTAAATGAAAAATGTATTACAATAATTAATAAATTCTAACAAGGGGGATTTCCAAGATCGACTGTTTGGCCACCCCTAGCATACAACATCCGAACTCTATAGTAATAAGTAATAACTTAATACTTATCAGTTATGAGTTATGACTTATGCTTTTTATTACTTATTTAGAGTTACCAATTATAATTTATAAATACCTGTATTTAATATCTATAAATATTGTCATAGGTATGGACGTATAATATATAGGTGTATGGCACCTATATGAATAATTCAAAAATAATATGACATGTGTAAAATACAATACATACCTAATTGTATAACATTTTAATATTTACCTTCTGTAATTATAGTGAAAAATGCTTTAAGCTAGGTACCTATACTATAGCTGATATAATCATTTATTGTATACAGATATACTGCACATAGCCAATTTGTGTTTGATATCGTCCACCAATCTTACGTCGTTAAAATTACCGGTCAACCGTATTGATAAAATTTGCAATCTTGATGCCTATACAAACCTTGTCGAGTTGGATCTTTCTCATAACCATATTAAGCAGATCGAAAATCTCCAGGTAATTAAATTCTCATCAATTTGTATTTTGTAGGTATATACTATATAGCCTGTACGGCTGTACCTACGTACGACGTACCTAAGTAACGAATATAAATTATAATATATTCTCACTGCGCTTAACTAATAACTATAGACGTACCTATATCATATTCCTACGTATATTTGTATATAAGTACCGCGGTATGTTATAAAATTGAAATTCAACTGTGTAATACTGTAATTTATTATTATTAGGAACCGGATTTATATGCACAAAAAGTCTTAAAAATATGCTTCTAAAAATGTTGTAATATGCTACAAAATATACACTTTAAATTTTATTTAAAATTATGTAAAAAATAAGTATTAACCAATTAAGTAATAAAAAAGGTATAAAAAGGTTTTAAACTCATGAAAAAGTATTTCGTTGTCTTCACTAAGTTCTTCGCCATTTAACATTATTTATCTTCAATAGTTCAATCTATAAAATATTAGCCCTGATCGGTTTCCGTCGAACACTTGAACTCTATTATATGAACAACGAATATATCTATATTAATATAAAAATAATATATACATCGCATATGCCATATGAGAATGATATTTTATTTTTGACACTAAAGACTGGTCGTAATATTATTGATATTATGTAGGTGGAACGTGAAAATACGATGAATAACAAATTTATGTTCTATGAATAAATATATTCACTATAAAAATAAAAATATTCATTTGATAGGTAAAAACAGTGAAATATGCAAAATACAATTAGATTTATTTTAATAATAATGATCTAAATAGGAGACAATATTCTCATCAGATTTCAAAAGGCTTATTCCAATAAATATATGTAGGTATCTGCATATAAATCCGGACTCCGGTCACTAATATTATTACTATTATATGGTATCCGCTTGAGTACATTTGGTTACATGATCGTAATATTAATATACTATAAATTATAATATATTATTGTGTCGACATATTTTTTTTTTTTTTTTTTATTAAATATAAAACAATCTGTAGAAACAAGCACATTATAAGATGATGCTACCTATGCATTTGTTGTCTCCGTCTTACACAAGTACGACATAGCAAATTTTCGTTCACTAGTTTCAATAGTGTGCTGTTACTTGTTAGTTTTGATATTAGAGTGATTTGACCTATTATCAATTTTTTAGATAATAACATTATCGATGCTAAAGCGTTGGCTTTTATTCGATATTTTAATTTTCAAGCGAGATTTTTCACATTTTTAATTTTTGATATTTCACATACCCATATCTTGCTTGAAAATTTCAAAAAAATCGGCTAAGCATAAAAAACAGATAAGGTTATTACCTAAAAGTTTTATAATAGGTCAATTCACTCTAGTATCAAAACTAACAGCACACTATTGAAACTAGTGAACTGCAACTTGGTACGTCGTATACGTGTGTAAGATGGATACAACGAATGTATGGGTAGCGTCCTCTTAACTAATTTTGATATACCTAATAATAAAAATATAACATTAAAAAGAACTTTTGAGGAAGTCACCTATTGGTAACACCTACTAAAATTTAGTTGGATTTGGAATGATATAATTATATAATAACTTAAACATAAAATACTAAAGTTATTTAAAAGTAAATATTTTTTTTTTTGGGGGGGGGGCGAGCGGTCTAAGACGTCGGTTGCGACGCAGCCTGCGCCGGTTCGATTCCTTGGTCATGGGTGGCATTTTTCTTTGGGCAAGTCACAGTGTCCGGAAAACAAGTGCCGACATCCCCCACCTGGGGCATGGCGGAAACCTACAGGTGCCCCATTAGAAATTCTGCCAAAACACAACACACATGTGTACCAACCTATCCAATCTACAAATCTACAGTTCCCTCCCACCCTATGTCGCCAAAAAAAAAAAAAAATGTAAAATCCAAATTACAATATAATAAAAAAGTATAATAAAAAATAAAATACCACCAATTGGAAAATATATTTAAAATGCATACCTACCTACATACTCATTTTTCCCAACATTATTGTGTATTATAATAGATTTCTGTATCAGATTTGGTTGATTACCTATTATTTTGAAGGGATTAGTTAAATTGCGGCGTTTGACTTTAAACCACAATCCATTGACAAACGTACAAAATTTGGATACTCAACGTAATTGTTTGGAAATGCTAGACATAGGATATTGCAAAATAGCCGATTATAAATTTGTAAGTTCATAGGTAATAAATAGCGAATATAAATAGAAATCTCACTGTTATACCTATACCAATACCAGTGAGATTTCTATATTTTTTTTTATCCACAATGAACCATAAGTAGATAATAACAATAATAATGTTATTGGTTTATAATTAATTTTCAGACTTTGTACTTAAGAAAGTTTACGAACCTCATATCGCTAATAGTAGAAGGTAACCCGTGCCAAACTGAACCCATTTACTCCGAACGGACATTAATACTGTCAATTGTACAATCATTACTGGTGTACAATAATAAAACTGTTACGGTTGAAGAAAGAAAAGAAGCTTTCGACACCCACAGGTACTTTAATTATTATTTATTGTAGTGTATGCCGTATAGATACCGCAATGATGTGAACAATGTAGGAGGACATCGATGGGAGGGTTAGCCCCTCTCCCCAAATGGAATTATTTGTAGATCCATGGACCATGTAAATAAATTGTGATCGGGGTGCTACCCACTTTAATTTTTAAATTTAGTCCTACCTATTTTCACCCCACAGGACCTTTTTTAAATTATTTTAAATTGTTATAAGAGAAAGATTCAATAAGTTCATGTGTTGACTACTTGACTGTGGTGGTCTGTTAAGGCGTACTGTAAAATAACAATTTGCTCAATACAACTTATGCTAAGCGAGTAACCTGTAAGGTGCTTACAGTGAATAGGGTACACTATAAGTTTCACAACTTTTTTGTCAAATCGAGTATATCCATGAAAGTGGTACCTATACACTATAGGTACCACTGGGCACTGACAGCCACACAATGTTTGACTTTGATACCTAAATACCTAATTTATATTGCTATCGAAATTGAAAATTTCTTTTTAATGTAATGTCATTATTATTATATGATTTTATGGTTTTAAATTGTTATTGTGTTATTATGGTACAATGGAGCCAGTAAAAATAAAAGATATTTATTTGCCCACTATTTTAATATTTTAGAATTTTTGCATCAAATAATTTAAAAAAATGCTTTTATTTTTATAAATATGCCTAGTTTGAAATTTTAATTGCTATTAATTCAGAATTTCGCTGTTTCTTTATTAAAGTACCTACCTATACAAATACAATTGCATTTAATAAATAATATTTGAGTATATTAATATGGATTTACTAATATACTATATAGCATGTTGCCTGTCGGCTGTTGGCACAACCATATTCAAACAATTTAAAAGACCTGATTAATTAAAACTTGTAAGCTGTAAATAGTAAATACGCAGTGAGAACTAGCCCACCAAAAGTACAACCAAATGTCTAAATTGTGAACAGATAATTGGAAAACACCTGCAGAACGATTCATGATTCAATAAACATGACGTGTTTCTGTCAAGTATGTCTGTTAGAAATATTTAAAAAAAATGTACCTATGCTTTTTATTTTCAGTCAATTGATTGCTATGCTAGAAAAAAACGACAAGAAATGGAAACGGATGTCCGTGGACGAGCAATTGCGACTAGAACGGATGGCGGGCAGGAAGGACGCGTTTTTAGATGGAATCCCGGAAGGCGAAGACGTCGATTTCAACGTCAACGTATTTCGCAACACGACCGTGGAACAAGTTCTGATGGAAAACAGCCGTTACGGGATCCATAACGTTTACAGAGGGTAAGGCAGTATTATTGTATCCGAATTTAGGTGCACCAGTGGTAGTTTTGAGGGGGCGATTACCTATCCCTCTATTGGGACTTGCTTTATTCCTCTTAGTAGGTATCAATGTATTCGCAGCAATTATATCAGTATAATACGTAAATATTATAAAAGTTTTAAAATATAATAACAATTTAGCGTACGTATGGCTGGTCTTTGAAAGAGGACAAAATTATTTTTTTCTATATTATTTTGCCATGTATACCAAATACTACCATGACTTTAGATTTGCCAAATCCTTGATTGGAATTTTATCAAAACCACTATACGGAGGTGCACCACTTGGCGCTTACTACTGTACTTTTTTTAAATACCTATGTAATTATTACATATTTTTGGTGTCTGGTGGGGTGGGCCTAAAACCCAACAATTCTTATATATTATTTCGGTATTGTTGTGAGGCGATTTAACGTTTTTTTTTTTGTTTGTTCTTGTTCGTTTGCCCTCCCTTGGCCATCGATTGTTTAGATACGCGGACAACTTTAGGCGACTGATAACCGAAATAACGAAAGCTGCGGAGACTAGCCGCGGGATCCGTGCCCGACTGGTCGACGAATTCCACTGCGATTTGCGGCAGTTGATCGACGGCGGCGTGGACGAAAGCAGAAAGTCAGCAAATAAGTGAACCAAAATAAAAAAAAATTGAAATTAAGCATTTTAAAACCAGAATAAAATATAACGTGCACTGCTCCTAGCTGGTTAATGTAATTATATTATAGAGTAAAAAGACAATCGTACACGTGATGACTGACGGTCATATATTTATATTGGATTAAAAATCGTCGGTATATCGTCATTCGTCGGACCTGAAAACAATTTTAATCGTAACTCAGAGAACGGTATACGTATATAAGAGTGTTTTCGTTTATTTACAAGCCGTTTGCTTTGAAACAATTTAGGTACAATTAAAAATGTTCAAAGTGTCCCTACCTATATATTGTATATTTTGCACAATATTATGACATATTAACAAGGCGTGAAAAACCAATATTTATTCAATTTTTATTTTATTATATTTGTTTAGTAAATAAGCAATTTCTTAACTACTAATTATAGTATTATACTATTCAATTTAATGTTAAAAAATCTGTGTCAGTACTTTGGATTATTTACGATATTCAAATTTGTAACACAATTTAAAAATGGTCATATAGTTAGGTATCGAAGAAAAATTAATATTGGTATCGTAGAAAAACCAACGTACAGATCTATACAGATACTATTTTAACTTTAAGTTTGATAATAGATCAAATCATTCTATTATTAGACAAAGCTAACAACACTCTACGATTGACTATCTCTAATAATTAATACATTCTCATAGATTTCTCTTACATTCTCAAATACACGCAATGAGAACATTTATAAAAATTGGGATGATTAAAAATATCGTGGAAAAAATATAAATTTGAAAATAAATTATAATATAATTTTGGTCATTTGCAAACTAAATCGGGCGTTACGGTGCTAATATTATTAAGGTGAACCGAACTAGAAATATTATTATTCTTCGACATTTCGTCAAACCTGTCAAATCTCGCGTGCGAAGTCGTTATGTGATATGTACTCATGTCCGCTTTTATTCAATTTATTTTTTTTAAAGGGCCATTGCATTTTGCAATCGTACCTGTGCACAAACGTTTGTCAGACTTTACATCGTGATCTCGTTTCGCAGGTGCGTTTCGGAGTTTGCGGAGTACAAGAAACGTGTGGAATTCAATTTGTCGGCAGGCAGCGGTGAGGGTGTAAGTCCATCGACGAACGCTGACGCTGGATGCGGACGTTTCGGTGAGAGGACGCGAGTAACGTGGCTCACGCTGATGGGCCATGAGGACCAATTGTCTAGGAAAATAACGGTTGATATTTATAATAAATAGTACTATAGACTAAAATAGAGTATTATAATAATATATAAGTGTAGCAGTGGATAAATCAATTTTCAGCATACAAGCAGAAGGAAATTTTCCGCCCCTTAATTTATTTATTTTTTTTGAGCCAACAGAATGTACAAAGAAATATATTATGTATTATTAATTGAATAATTATTTATTACTTATAAATATAAAAAAGACGTAGCTATAGAAGGAAAATCAATACACGAATAAAACTGTTTACATTATTAAAAAAGCTTCTTTAGACTTGGTCTAAAATTTGTCAATATTATGATGTCTTAACTTCGATTGATGATACTGATTCGATGCACATGATTGCATGATGGCAAGAGAATTAAACTGAGTACTGATTATCGCCCCTTGTAGATCTCAAATATCAAATATGCTAACCTATGCGTTTTAAAGTGGCTCAAATTACAATTTTAACAAGGTGAACAATGACGCAAATTACAATTTTTGTAGGTAAACGATGGCGCAGATTACTTAATGCCCTTTTATTAAGTTTTGTGTGGCGCAAACTACAACCTTAAAAAGTGGCGCAAATTACCAAAATTAATTTTTAGATGTGGCTCAAATAACATAAATATTTTTTTGGAGGAGTTGTTTTTGGCGCAAATTACATACGTCCCCGTGACCACTACCCGCTGCCAACCGGTAATCGACGTTATAGTTGTTGGTCTTAGGTGATAAGAACTATTTTGTAAAATACCACAGAATAGCAATAACTAATAGATTTATAGATATAAGATTATAATATAATATTTCAAATTTCTATTGTAATTGTATAATATTAATGAGTCATTGCGTTAACCATAAAAAGGACCCCATTGCCGAAATACGAAGGGGGCCCACCGGGAAATGCCCTGTTTCCCGGTTGGCCTATCCACCCATGTTTTACAATGATGTGAGTTTTTATTAAATTTTTTTTTTTGTGTCTGCTTACACGATTAGTAGTTTAAATAATGCTTTGATTTTCAACTTCAGTATCTTGTTCGATGGGAAAGTAATCTAGTTTGCAGTTTTAGGTGGCCAAAGGGTATATATAAATTAATTTATTCACAATAATTTCATCAAATATACTTAGTAATATCATAGGCTGACTGACCGTCTTCGCTCGGTATCGTTTTTCTTATACAAAGATTTATTTAAATTTTTATTCAAAGTTAACGCCATCTATTACAGTGACCCACTTGTAACCTACTGCACAGAAGAGCGACACCCTTTACTTTTTTAGTAAAAATGCATGGATTTTCTTCAACAGTATCTTGTCTGATAGGAAAGGTGAATTTAGTTAGTACTTTGGAGAGTCAAAAGTAAAAATTCCCAATAGTTTTCAAAAGCGACCGGAAAAACAAAATAAAGGAAAAACGGGAATTTTTACACAAAATCGATTTTGTCTTTTGGTGTAACTCTAAATCAAATGATCGTAATTACATGAAATTTTCATTGAATATTTATATTAGTATATACTCAGTATACGGACAGTGGCGTATTTAGGGGGGGTGTCCTGGGGGTTAAAACCCCCCCCCAATTTTTTTCTTAGTTATATTCATTACTGAAGTATCACAAAATACGAATAACGAAATATTTTAAAACTGCTTTGAAAAATGAAAATTGAATAATGTATATTTTATATTTTCATCTTATACCAGATAATAGTCAATAGGTATTAGCATTGATTATATATATTGCGTGTATATATATATAAATACCTCTCTAGGTGCAGCCGTGCAGGCAGTGGCGAAATAACAGAATATTGTGAACTATGTAATTCTTAGAATTGTATTATCGTTTCGGCTAGCCGTATTATTGGCTATCGCCTTATTATCTTTCTTCAAATACAACTTTTATTATTATCTACGATAGCAAAAGACCAACGATATAAAGTGTACTATGTACAGTTGTCAGTTGACAGTTGTACACTCGATGTACAACAATATTATTTTTTGCTGAAACTTATAAGTTATAACTAAAGAAACGCAATGGAAGCTTTGTGTGTATGTAATCCAGAAATATACCCAAATATATTTAAATTGTTAACAATTTTTGTGACACTGCCAGTTTCAACTGCACAGAACGAAAGATCATTTTCATCACTTAAAAAGATAAAGACTTATTTACGTAATACTATGGGCCAATTAAGTTTATTTTTTTTTGACTAAGTCTAAATCATAATTATAAAATTAAATAAATAAATAATTGTTTTATTTAGAAAAGGCTAAATGGATTAGCCATGTTATCAATCAATCGGAAGGATCGCATTGAAAGTAAGCAAGTATTGGACGAATTGGCTGTAAAAAAAAGACGTCTACCTTTAATACTGTGAGGTTAAAGTTTTGAAATTTTAGTGTTTTTTTTTCTTTTAATATATCTATAATATTATATAAGTATACAAAATAAATTAAACTCATACGAAAAAATACTCAGTAAATTTAAGTGTTAGATTGGTTTTATTTTATTCAGTAAAATTGTTTATACTTTATTCCTGTCATAATTGTATTATAATTAAAAATGTAAGTAGCAATCCTAAAATTTTTTTACAAAAAAATGTCCACTTATATAAGGTATTAAGATGTATTATAATCAGGTATGAATTAGTGATGAAACTATGTTAATATTTGTCATTAAATAACTGTGGAGATCAGGAGTCAGGACACCCCCCCAAAAAAAACCCAAAATACGCCACTGTATACGGATATACCTACTCAGTTTCTAATTTGTTTAGGTTTTTTTCTATTAATGTTAATAAAACATTATTTGTTGGATAAAAAAGCTTGACAATTTAATACAAAGCTCCTACTATATTGTCACAATATTTAAAAAATATTTAAAATCCTTAGTCACAGGTTTTATTTTTATAAGCATTTAAAGTTAAAATCTTTATAAAATATGGAAAAATCACGAAAATTAGCAAATAATTTCGAGTTAAGAATTCATAAAAATTTTTCTTTTTAAATCTAAGATTTGAAACAAGATACAAGATTATTGATAAGTTTGTCTACTTTTATAAAAAAAAAAATGCCCACAAGCAGATCAAATTAAATTTTTACGAGTGTTTGAAGTTAATATTTTTACAATATTGGATATTCACTCGATTTCTCATATAGGTAACGATTTTGTTATTTTGTAGTTATTCAATAACTAAAAACTGTAGATACATGAACATTTTACCAATTTTACTGAATGTTTAGTTTAACAATTCCTGATAAGAAATACTATATAGAATACTATAGAATACTTGATAACATTTTCAAAATATTTTGACTCGTTTTGAGCAGTTTAAGGACAATTTCCAATTTCAATTTTTCTATGAATTATATCAACAAAGTTTTATCAAATGGGCCAAAAGGAGTGAAAATTTAATACAATGCTCCTGTTATATTGTTACAATAGCAGTGGAAAAATATTAAAAATACAGGCACATTTTTTTTGTAAGCATTTAAAGTTCAAATTTTGACAAACTTTATCAAATTTAAAATTTAATAATTATTTTGTAAATTATTTTGTAGTTAAAAATGTATAAAATGTTCAACTTTTATAGCTAAGGATTGAAAATTAAAACTAGGTTCCACGTAAATATGTTATATATAAATTACTTCACAATAATTTCATCAAATATACTTGGTAATATCATAAGCTGGCTGACCGTTATCGCTCAGAATCGTTTTTCTTATACAATGATATTATATCATTGAATTCAAATTTAACACCATCCATTACAGTGACCCACTTGTAACCTACTGTACAGCAGAGCGACACCCACTTGTCCACCTTTTTATATTTAACTACCCATCCACTGCACATAGCTACTCAATATTAATTATTGTTAATAATCAATAGGGATAAATTATAATGGGTTGATACTCGATACTATATAGAACTGATACGGTGATACCGTAAAAAACTAAATGTACCTATAGCACCTCAACATTGACAAAATAATCAAAATATTTAAATTAATATTTTGAATTTTTGAACGTTTTTATATGTTTATATTTGAATTAATAAATTGTTAATTGATTAAAATAAACATAACTATTATTATAATTAGCTCTTCTTTAATTATTAATACCAATTTATTTAGAAAATGATTGGAGAATTGCGGGACTTACTTGAAAAGCAGATAGTCGAATTCAAACAGTTGGTCAACAACCGATTTTGTATGTTGCAGAGACAACAGAACATATTCCTACAGTTCATTTTAGAGTATGCAGTGTCTTCGGTACAAAGCGATGACGTTAGTGTTATTATTATTATTATTTTTTTTGACGGAAAGAAAAAAAACTTAATTTACAGAACAATTATTAAAATGTGTAGTATGTTTTTGCAGCCAAAAATTATAGGTAGGTCGTAGGTATAACGTGCTCTTAACAAGTGATTGTGAGATCGGAAATTAGCTCAATATTGTCTATATTTTACAAGTTGTGCATAATATGTAGGTACAGCGGAGGTACACTGGTAGATACGTGTGTACCGACTATTGGACAGTTAGTTTGGGGCCAGGGTGTGTCCTCAATCCTAAGTTTAAAATATATATGTACCTACAATAAGTCAATAAACACGAGAAAATAGACAATATTACTTAATTACGTACTACGTAACTATAATATTATATCGTGTTATTATTAAAAATTTTTATACATATATAATATATATTATTGATTACCCTGAGCAATAATATAACACTATACCTACCAGATATTATGAAACTATATCTACTTTTAAGTACCTATGTTATTCAATGGTTTATCCCCTCGACCCCTCCCCACAGCGGCGTATTTAGGAATTGCTAAAGGGAGGGAATGAGGCACTGAATGACATATGTAATAGTGGGGGGCTTTGCCCCCCACACCCCCCTTTGAGGTTTCTTATACTTACTCACTACATACTGTACAGTTTACATAACATTATTAACATTTAACACCAATTATTAATCATTAATTTTAGTTTATAACAATAACATATTGATTATTTTTCATTAGATTTGAAATAAATTTCAATTTTTAATTTACACTCAAAAAATATTCTTAGACAATTCACTCTTTAACAATTACCATCCTACTATCACCATTTATGTCCAATAACACAATAATACATTTAGTATAAAAATAATAGTATCATAAATATTCATTTTTACTTTAATAAATAATAATAATTAGGTACATACTCATACTTTCATTACTTTATACTTATAATACAAAATCAAGTTTTCTTTGTTTTATTGCTAGTTCATCAATTACTTCGTCAATACTTATGTCTACTGTACGATGAACAGATAATAGCGCTAGTCCTTTAAGACGTTCCTAAGGACAATACAAATAATTAATAATGTATAACATTATAAATTATAATTCTGTATAGCAATATTAGAAAATAATATAAGAAAAACCTCATTCATTGAATTTCGGCAGTAAGATTTTAAGCGTTTTAGTGTGGAAAAGCTCCGTTCTGGCGTTGCTGTAGAAACAGGCAAAGTAACTAATATTTTAAATAAGAAATGGATGTTTGTATAAATATCTTTATTGCAGTTTTGTAAGGCTTCTAATCCATTTTTAGTAAGATTTTCACAGCTTGAAGCTAATTTGAGTTTCCACATTTTCAGTTCAGCCAAAACATTGTGTTTATCGGTAACAGGAGAATATAAATCAATTAACTTTTGAAATTCTGTTTTATCGTCATCAGTAAACTCTGAGTGAAATAAGCATTCAAAACCTAGAAATTTCAGAAATAAGAAATACTAAAACAAATTGACGATTCAGTGTCTATATATTTATACTTGAATCCTCTAATAATAGCGAAAAAAATACCAAGGGGGGGATTGATACCCCAACCCCCCCCCCCCCCCCCCCCCCCGCTGCCTCCCCATAACAATTCTTAAATACGCCGCTGTACTTACCCACTACACGTAATACTATATTATTCAAAATTCGAATGCCCTTCTCGGCACCTTGCCACGCATTTCTAGTCATATTTTTTTTTAAAACTATTTCAGATAAACAATAGAATTAGCAGAGTGTCACAACTCACAAACGATATTTCACAATGTATGGAATCGCAAGCTTCGCAGGTAGAACGCGCTGAATTATACATAACAAAAAGTGCTTCCAAATGGTTAGACGATGTGTTTGACAAATTGAACAGGTAAAAATGCCAAAACTAAAATTATTAACTTAACGGATAATATTATGACACAAAATATTGTACAATAACTGATAAAACTTAAGCTATTGAGAAAAGTGTTTGATTCCTGAATACATGTGGTTGTGTAATTGTGTAGCACAATATTGCAGGGATGGAAAACGTTTTTGAAAACGTTTTTAAAAAACGTTATTAAACGGAAAAAAATGAAAAACGAAAACAATTAATAAAACGAAAACGAAAAAAACCAAAAAACGAAAACAATTAATAAAACGAAAACGAAACAAAACAAAAAATGAAAACAATTAATAAAACGAAAACGAAACAAAACAAAAACGTAAAACGGAAATAAATGATAGTATTATACATTATTTAATTATTTTTGCTCAATGTGTAAGTGCAGATTTTTTATTTTTATTCAAAGATGTATTTTATATTTTTATTTCATTTAATATTTTAGTATTTTACAATTACCAATATGTTAATTTTCTGAGTTATTATTACTGGATTATTTTTATTATTTACTCTAGAAATCTGAAATAGTGTTTCACTTTAGTCTTTGAGACTTAAATCTTTACTTTTGGGTTTTTAATCTTTACCAATGCACTTTTAAAATTTAAATATTAAGGATAATTAATTTGAATTTTTAACTTTCAAATGCATTTCTATATTGCGCGGTACTATTATAACTTAAAAGTTAAAAGTCACGAGTTATAAGCTATAGTTACTAGCTATAAGAATATATTATATATAAAAAAAAAAAAAATTATCAAAAACGTTATTTGGAAACAATAAGAAAATAACGTTTTTAAAAACGTTAATCAAAAACGATATTGAAAAATAACGTTTTTAAAAACGTTAATCAAAAACGTTTAAAAACGTTAAACAAAAACGAAATTTTTTAAATCAATAAAGAAAAACGAAAACGAAAAAATTAAAAACGTTTTCAATCCCTGCAATATTGTAAGATTTTATTCGATGCGTTTGATTAATAATATTAATAATAATTATACAAACGGCTGATATAAAACAGGTGACTACTCATTAAACTACAAACACTACAAACCTAGGTATATATTTTATTATTTTTTTATTTCTTTAAAATTATGTTTTTAATCCGTATATAAAATATAATTACCTACATAAAGTTACATAGAGTTCCTAAGACTATTATTAAAAAATTAACCTAATTTTTAACCAAGTTAACTATATGCATATATTTCAATAAATGCCTATAGTTAAGCTTGAATTATTAATTGTATTGAACATATAATAATTTCTAGTTAAAATTTAAAATAATTTTGCAGCGAAGAATTCCAAAGAAATCGTCGGAAGATATCAGAAATCGCATCATTTATCCGTTCTCAAAACGAAACATTGAAACGATCACAGTCTTAGCAGTTATAACAGTCTTATGATGTTTGGAGTTAGTTTATTATTAGGTAAATATTTTATACCTATTGTATTTATTATAGGTATTACATATAATAACTAATTGGACCTAATTGGTTATTAGGCAACAGAAATATATATTTCCAATGCCATTATAGATATAATTATATAAACATCATAAAAAATAAATGTATATTGTTAATGTACCATTGTCTAAGCATATTCAATTTTAAACTTCAACAAATAATTATATAATATGAGAGTAGATGGTGATTCTTCATTTCTCCACTCGACACCCTGCCATTGAGTATCCCACTACGGAAGGATGTCATGTGGGGATGTGCAGAAGAATCGATGTTTGATGGGCCGTGGCGTGTTTTCTCGCTGAACAGAGTATAGTCAAATATAACTATTTTACGTTTGTATTGAAAAGGTTATAATATAAATTTCTATCTTACTACGCAACTTTACTGTACTATTAGACAAAAAAAGAAAATATGCAAATAGATAAACTACAATTAAAAAAACATCTGCCCTTTAATATTATAAATATTGCCCCTACATTATATATTGTATTTAGAGATTTGGTTGTATTTACTATAATACTACTTATTTGTAAAAGAAATAATTGAGTTGCATTAGGTTATTAAATTTAATTTTGGTAGCGGGCTAAGTATTGTTTATTTGAAATGGAAAACGTTTTTAAAGAAACCTACCTATAGTAGAAACCAATCTTAAGTTGTTAAAAAAATTTATTGTTACTTTAGTGTGATGTCTTATTAGATATAGTTTCAATACAGCAAGGCGCAAGCTACAATAACAACAGCTTCAAAACTGGGAGACAAGCTTATAAAATTTGTAATTGTAAAAATAATGGTCTGTCAAAACCATAGATAATAAAGATATGGATAGGCCATGCCTATATTAACACTGTATGAGCCACTATGAGGTCGCAATCTTTTTTGTGGGAGAGAGAAAATATCTTTAAGAATGTTCTCTCTCTTGCATGGGGTACTATTTAAGGTTAAGTTCAAACTTCAAATAATAATTGCCATTATAATATTTACCATTTTACCCCATATAACCTCAAAATTGATAGTAATACATGAACGCATGATACGCTTCAATGGCCTATCCATATCTTTATTATCTATGGTTAAAACATACAGTTGCAAAAGAGAAGGGGTTCAGTGCACCGAACTACAGTATAATCCCATTACAACTAACTCCAATCGACTGATTTTTTTTGTTATAACGGAAATGTTGTTGTAACGGCTTTCGAAAAGCTTAATTAGCTTTTTGGTAGGGGACTTCTATGACTTTCGTCATATTAGTATTCCTTGTAACAGGAACTTACTGTATAATTAAATTAGGGTGTGCAAAAATTATTTTTCATTACTCACACCTTTTGACCATACATGGCTACAAACCTTTTATATTTATGCTGACCATATACATACTTATTTTATAGTATCAAGGGGATACCCACTGTTGGGTAACCACAGACCCCCACCCACCGAAAAAAATGGTGGTCGCCCCTCTTGGGTTATAGGTTCGGCTCCACTGAAGGGGTTCTTTGTAAGTCCAGATGCCATAAGTAATAGGTACCTATTATTTAATTATTAAATTACAATAATTAATAATAATGTCACAAAATTATATGAAATTATTTATAGTAAGTAACATTAAATATTAATTTAGTACTTTAGATTCAGATTAGGTAATAATAAAATGTTTCGATAGTATGACTTTGGATTTTATTAACATTCAAATATTGAATGATTATAATATGATAAAATTCAAAATATTATAAACTCATAAAAATATTATGGCGTAAATAATATAAATGATGGCTTATGAGTCAGTTAAAAATAAAACGGCTATTTTGAAAAAAAAATAAAAAATGAAATTGAAATTGAAATAATATAAACATCATTAAAGTAATTAGAAGATCTAAGCAGCATCATTGAGAATACTGTCGTCCAATGATTTGTATATGGTCATGTCAATATCCATTCTGAAATGAAATAAAAATATATATTTATTTAATTATAAGGTTTAGGTTTCCTAAGTATAATAATAAAAAATGTCATTATTCCTGTAAATAGGATTAAATGGAAATTAAAATTTTTTCAATGCATAATATAGCACTTTTGATTAATAAATTGAATAAAAGAATAAATTAATTGAAAACCATTTAAAATATTAAAATTACATTTCTTAAATAGATTTAACTTAAATGAACTTAACGCTAACACAAGTAACAATCAGACAACTCAAAATTATTATAATGAAACTTCACTAAACTTAGGAATGAAATTATTTTATGTGAAGTTACCAAAAAGAAAAATAAATGATTCAATAAATTTTAAGGACATAATTAATATATTATACTTGAATGTACAAAGTTTTATATTGAGAATGCAATTGAACTTACTTTTTGAATTCATTAGCTACATCATCTAATTTAGATGGTGGGCAGACCATTGCTGTTCTTATACATTTTGGATCAAACAATGACATAACATACTTTTTCCCAATTTGTGGCAGTTCCTTGAGTGTTACTTCAGATATCTTCTTAATAAGATTTCTAAATAATTGTAAACATGATTAATAAATATAATTTAACAATATCATTACAAATGTTTATTACCGATTATAATCAGGCGACAAATTTCTAAAATGAAACAATACAGATTGTGTTACTAAGTCACCTATTGACTTTTCTCTTTCAGCAATCTCAAAGATTACAGAACATTTTGCAGATTCAAATAGGGTTGTGTCCCAAACTGCACCATCGATTAAATGAGTCTCCTATAATGGAAAAATAACTTATTTATGCAACAAAATATGTGAATATATCAACTTTAACTTTAATGATAACAATCATCAATACAATTTGTTGTTTGAAATATCGTCTTTGCCTATTGTTTATGATATTTAAGGGGCCTGCTTAAATCTTTAAAAAGGGGCAATATTTTAATATACAATTTTGTTGCTGCTGTCCATGGCATTTGTGTTAGTTATCGAAGAAATTAGTGTGTGTGATTGTTGACATGGGCTATATGCGCAAGCGGCACACGTCAACATAAAATGAAAAGCGGGATTTTTTGCTCAAAACACGCTTTACAGGAAAAACTATCACTCATCGTAGAGTGGTCTGATTTGATTAATTTTTTTTTGGTTAAAAATAGTATCATTTTCTACAGTTCACATTTGTTTTTGATTTTAAAATTTCGGTGCTTAAAACAAACATAATAAAAAAAACAAAAGCTTTTGAAAATTGGTCATATTCAAAATTGTATTATATGGTATAGAAATAGAATTTTGAAAATCTAAATACAATTTGCACTGTAAGAATAGTACCTTTTATGAGGTGTAAAATTTTTTCCTGTAAGGCATGTTTTTGAGCAAAAAACAGGTCATGTGCTGGCCGGCCCTTTAAGAAAACAAACCATTACTGACCAATGAACAGATACCAAGTAGATATTATATTATTATTGATAAATGTAGTGTATGGATATACATAAAGATTCTAATTTTAATTTTTCAAAAATAGTCTGATTAAACATACCATTATATTTTTAGTTTCTTTATATGCAGCAGGTACATTTACTGAACGATAAAAATGTAGCAACAGTAATCCTTCATTGGGTCTTGGAGTAATGCTGTATGAATATGCATGACCCAGTCCACGGATATTTTTCCACATTGGCCCCTACAAAATAAAAAAGACTTCATGAAATGACAGTTTATGGAAAGAAATTATTAAATTTTAATAATATGATATTTAACATACTTCTAACTGTGTAAAATATTGTAAAAAGACTAATAAAGCAGCCATATCTGGATGATTAAAGTCATTGATACAATCTGTTACTTGTATAAAATAACTGGACTCAATAGCACCCATACCAACAGCACAAGCTCGTATAACACATTGATCATTGGGTAAAATATATTCATAGTCAAAAACAGTTTCAAATCTGAAAAACAAGTAAATACCAATTTAATTACACTTTCAAAGTATACAATAATGCTTATTTACTAAATTACTCACAATTTTACTGAACGTTTAACATTTGATGGAATAAGCTGTTCCAATAGTGAAGATGCATCAGGTTGAATTTCACACAATACATCTAAATCAGCAGATAAATGCATTTTTATACTCTCCGGGTTGGCTAAAATCATTTTCACATTATTCAAATCATCATTAATAGATGACCACCCTTCATCAGATTCTATTTTTTTTTGTAAATTTGATAAGAATTTATGTTGTCTCAGTGTACTGCACGCATAGTGGTTGTTATCTATACAAATTGAACAAATATTTATCAAACAAAATTGTATATAACAGTATGTATCATACAATTTTAAATCATATACTATGGATATTGCTACTGGCTAAATATTTGAAGCGAACAAAACTAAGGTGAATAGGTGCAATTGATATTACGCAGTCAAGCGCACGATTGGTACAACATTTATCACGCTCAATTTATATCACCGCTAGTTTAGTGATATAAATCGAGGGTGATAACAGTTGTACCAATCGTGTTCGTAAATGCGTGATAGAAATCAGTCCCCTTGTGTCTTGTCTTTATGATGTCTTCAACACGTAGTATGTGTTTATAATGCAGTAGCTCTATCCATAATATAATAATATGATCTCAGCATAAAATGCTTCTACTATAAAATAGAAAAAAATATATCAAACGTTTATGTCAACTTACTATTTTTGTAGATTACATTACGTAATATATCCCTTAACATATGATTACCATCTCTTCGATAACTCGAAACTTCGTTTATTATTTTTGTTAAATTAATAGAAAATTTTTCTTTTGTTATTTCTGTATTGAACAAAAAATTATGCAGCCACTTGATGCCTTTATGAAATTTCTTCGGTTCCAACTAAAAAAGTAATATTTATAATAGTGAAAACTTATTATCAAGAAGTTAAACATTATTTTATTAATGACTTTATTCCATTTAATTGAAAATTACTTGAAAGAATAATGAAATAACAGAAGAAAAAGTTCCACATAAAAACTGGGATGATGATGATGTTCCTATTTCTGCATTCCACGACATTAAATCTTTTTCTAATTCAGCAATAATATCAGTATAATGAATTTTAATACCATCGCAATTGACTGTACTTTTCATTAACAAATCAACCATAATTGGTAAATACATTTTAAGGTTCATAGGTAAATCTTTAGTATCAATAAAAGTGTACATCTGCAAAACAACAAACAGTCAAAAATGCATTTTAGTTTAATTTTAGTAAAAATATACTTACATAGACAAAGTTACTTTTGATATTGTCTACTTCCATGTATATGGGTGCATTAGTTATTTTAAATAAATTGTGTTGATCAATAGAATTTGTTGTGAATGTATTAAATGAATAGAAATTTATGCATTCAATATTAGGAATATTAAGTGATGTTAAAAGTTCTTTGGGTGGTTTTGTCTGAAACACAAGCATATTATTTTATTAACAATTATTTTACAATCAAAATATATACTTAATTTTGTTAAATATTTTACAATTTATTCTTACCTCACATTCAACTTTGGCATTTAATAATTCGACTGCCTTTTTTTTCAAACCATCTTCCCCTAATGTTTTTTGTCGTTCTTGTACTCTTTCTTTTTCTTCGTTAGCAAGCTCTTCTTGCTTTTTTATAGAAGGTATGCCCCTCACAATTACTCTATTGTCATTGATCAAATACTTTTTCAATATTCCTTTCCAAAATGTTATTTCTTCATTTTCTAGTTGTTTTAGTATGTTCATTTTATTCAATTTCTGTTCCAACTGAAAATATTAATAATATTTATTAATGTGGAACCTTAGTGTGTTTTAATTTAATTTCTGAACAATTTACATTAAATACAAATAATATTACTCACATCAACGGAAGTTTTTCCATACAAAAAATCTTCTATAATTATTGAAGATAATTTTTCATGTGGATAATTATCTAAGTAGCTCAATATATGAAGTTTGTTTCTCTCTACAAATGTTCTTAATCTTGCCAAGTCGAGATAACTATCATCGACCAAAAGTTTATTAAATATTTCATCCAATTTTGATGGTATAATATCAGCATCCATTTTTTCAATGGGAACATTTTCAAAATTAATTGTTATAGATGGTTCATTATGAGAAGTCATATCAAATGACACCTGTTAAAATATAATATAGGCAATATTAAAAAAAAATATGAAATAATAATTAATAGATATAGGTATTATCAAAAATATTTATAGTACATTCATATACATTTAAGTCTAGATAATAAAAAATGTATAATCTTAAATCCACCATTTCAAAAAAAAAAAAAAATATTTGACTATAAGTTATAGACTATAATAATAATTTTAATTAGAATCAAACTAAATGCTATTTTTATTATTTGTAACTAAAACGTGCAAATCTAATACTAAGTTACATTTTTGGTATTATTCAACACACTTTCATTCAGAGATTTCAGAGATGATCTCATATTTAAGATTGTTTACAAGCAATATCAGTGATAACAATTATTAGCTTTTGAACAAAATATTCTACATAGATTTATATTTCTTACTTCAGTACAGAAAGGATCTGCAATTTCAACCATTTCTTTAGGTAAAGGACTGATTGGAGTATCCGTCAAGTATTTCAACAATAATTGACATGCAGTATAACTAAAATAGAAAAATAACATTAATATCAATACATCATAATACTTCATTAATTAACATATTTACTTACTCTTTTAAACAATTTGGGCCTCTAAAGCCAACACATATTATCCCATTGGTTTCTTCATCAGAAGGAAAAAGAACGGAATTATTTGATGATATAGTTAATGGATCTACTGGATTTTGCCAAGGTCTGACATAATCTCCTCGATTTCCCTGCAACATCATTAAATTATATTTTATATATTTACAATAATAATAGTTTAGTAAGAATCATTCAAATTAATAATATAAGTAACAATATTTTACCTTTGATAAAATCTTTTGAATGAATGGCTCTAAAACATCAAACACAGAAGAATGATCTATCTTTCCACTTATAAGAAGTAATAAATTTTCAGGACGATAAAATGCATGATGATATTGACGAATCTATAACAAATAATGAAAATAAATTATTCAATAACTTAAATCTACAAAATATCTATTTAAAAACTTATATTTTATATAGTAAAACACCAACTATTATAGTGGGTGTTATGCAAGAACAATTAAAAACAATAAATTCTTTAAATACCTTTTTATTTGTAGTTGAATCTCTCAAGTTTTTCATAATACCTCCAGTTTCAGATTTATAACCACATTTACCTGGGTACAAGTTTTCCAACATATTTCTTGATACAATACTTTCTCCAGTATTTTCCCTGCCTTGCATTTCACAGTACACAACACCAGCATCCTCTGCTTCATAAGTTATATGGTGGACTTCGGTAATAAACCCACAATCCTAAATAATTTATTAAATTAAAAGCTTGTAATATGTAAATAATTGTTGAAAAAATATACTTTAATTGTAGGATATAATATATGGTCAAGGTAGACTGGAAGAAGTGATAGGAAACCTTCACTACCAGCTGTGCTAATTGTATAGCAAGTATGATCAACATCTAAAAAAAAATATTGTTGTAAAATAATAATTGATACCTACCTTATAGTTTATTAGTATAAAAGGAAAAGATATAACATTCTTTTTACCTGTCCAAGCATTTGTGCCAGATGCAAGGCAACGATTAGCTAATAAATCAAGAACACCTTTAAAAGGATAATCTTCAGATCCTAGAAATATTAAGTGTTCTAATGTATGTGGAATTCCATCGCCATCATGAGCTTCAGTAGCTATAAATAAATATTTTAAAAATAGTACAAATAGTTTATTAATTATTATATTTGATTATAAATAAAAATTATGCAAATAATTTACTAAAAAAAAAAGATTTATATAGAACATAAAAAGGTTGTCACAAATAATGGAAATAATACAAATTGTAGGTAAGTACCTACATATAATATGTATTTTAAACATAATTTCACCCATTTATATTCGTTACACATTCATATATGAGTTGGTATAAACAAAAATAATAGTCAGTAATCCAGTTATTTACTTCTAGAAGATAACTGTGAACATTAAATTCAGAACAATACTAACTTCTGCCTAGCAAATAATTTTGTACTTATCAGAGGATTTGAAGATCTATTTTTTTTATTGAAAACTACCTATTATGCCTTAATGTTCAATGTAAGACATAGAGGAATGTTGATTTGTTTAAATTATAGTCACCCATTGGAGAATAAACTATCAGAAGAACAACTTTTCACTAGTTTTAATGGAAATTGGTGTGACAGGTTCGGGTTCCAACTGAGGGGGTTCACTCAGCCAGGATTTTGGTGCTTAAACTGGTAGCCCGAACCAGTAATAAACCATTTCAGAATGTTCACCATTTCTGATTTCAGAATGTTAATGTTTAATGAATGTTCGTAAAACTGTCAACGAATAAAAATATTACGATTCTCAATAAAGAGTGAAAAACTCAACAATGCAAAATAAAATGACGACAATCTAGCCTGTGACGATAGCATGGGCGTAATGATCTCGAGCAGTTGCCCACACACACCGTTCACAACACAGTTGTTGATCGTTACGGCATTTGTAAGGAGGAAAAAACAAGACAAAAAAGAACTACCAATATATTACCCAGAGCGAAGTATCCTTGGACCAGCGGGCCTTCTATGTCACCAAACACGACGGTGATACCAGTACGCAGACATTTATACTTGTACACCGGTATGGCAGACTCGAGTTTCGAATAATTGACCAGCTGAAAACGGTCAGAGTGCTTCTCGCTGAGCGTCACGTCTACGGGAGCCATTCCACCGCGTTTGTCGTTCATAAGTAATCCGGCCCGACGACGTACTCGAGCTAAACGTAAAAAAGGAGATCGTCGGTGCTGCCGAACAGGTGGTGTGTGCCGTGTAAACGGTTTGAACGATAGTCGGTTTTTAATAATAATAACAATCGGCGGCTGGAGAGGAGAAACTCGAATGAGACTACAGTTACCACTATAACACAAAACAGCTACAGTAACGACTAACGAGCCACGGGGAAGTACCTACCACAATATTATTCGATAATGCCGGGCGTTAAGAACAACAAACAACGAAGAATACACACACACACACACACACGGCCATAGACACGAGTTAAACGGTCAACTACGGTTAGAAAAATATTATTGTGGTGGAGGCACGATCACGCGATATCGGAAGAGATAAGGTTCAGACGCTACCGCCCTTCCACATTCCTGGCACCGGACTGACGCCACCGAGCGTCTCCTCCACACGCACTCCGGCGCACACTGCAACCCGCGTAAATTATAATAATGCGTATTATAAAATCCTTTCAAGTTTCGATATGAAAGATTAAACATTGCCGTCGTCCGATCTCCGAACGGCTGTAATTAAATTACCTATATAAATAATATAATCTACTAGACCAGTGGTCTCCAACCTACGGACCGCCGAGCTTTTTGCACCGGCCGGCCAAGCTAATTAATGTTTTGAAAATAATTTACTAATTTTCATTGTTTTTAATTTATTTTTTATTGAATTGATTAATAAAATAAAATAAATTTATAATATTTTCTTTTGGTATTATTCATAACAACTTATATTAGTTATACATATATACCAACACGGCAACACAAAAACTAATAATAGATAAACTCGTCATTTCGTCAAACACACTAATTATCTGACTTAAGGTCTATTCACACTACGACGGAACGGTGACGGGACGGACCCGGGTCAGAATTTTATCCGTTGGCGTCACCTGTTCACACTTAACGGAACGGATTTTATAACCACTGTATTACACTCTTTATTCTATAATTCAATTAAGCATATGATATATTATATATATCCCAGGGCTTACACAAAGGGGATTAGGGGCCAGAGCCCCTGAATTTTTTTCGGGGTCAATTATCATAACCATTATGTAATATAAAATGTATAGATAAATATGAATGTCATCAGAACTAAGAAGGTTTTATAGATTGATTTTATTGATTATCGTATGAAAATATGGAATGATGTGAAAAAGTGCAGTTCTAACTTGTAGTGTAACTTTTTTTGGTAAAAAAGTGAAATGTTCATAGAATAGATAGGTATTATAGTTTATTAGTTAGTGATATTGATGGCATAGTCTGATTTATAATTAATACATAATACAAATAAATAATTAATTTCAAAACGGTTTGATTGTTACATGTTATTTAGTTATTTTATTAGAACCTAGTAATGTTTTGATTCAGTAAATAATCAAAAACCATCAAATCAATAGCAAGTAACGTTTTAAATTTTCATTTGTTGGACAAAAAACTTTGAAAATATAATTTAGAGCTCTTCACACATTGTTACAATAGCATCAGTTAAAAAATATTTAAAATAGGTACATTGACACCATTTACTTTTTATAATTATTTAAAGTTCAAATTTGGACGAAGATAAGCGATTTTAGTTGTTTTGTTGTATATTTTAAAAATATTATTTCTGGGTACTTGGAACTTTTAAAATGTATTAGTATATTTTATAGACACTATGTCACTATGGCATTTTTAAATTAAATTTTTTTCTGCTAAAACTAATTTAACCTACTGAAGTACTAAAGCCTAATAAGTAGTAAAATAAATTATTTTAATTACAATAATATCATATAACATATACATACTTAGCCTAGTAATATCATAGGCTGACTGACAGTCTTTGCTCAGAATCATTTTTCGTTTACAATGATTTTATGTTATTGAGTTTAAATGTAACACTCACCTTCACAAATTCCTATGGACACAGTCTACACGTATATTAGTATAAACTATAAATATAAAAATATATATTGCGTAACTATTGTGTTTCGATTAAGACATTAATTCTAAGAACATAGTTAAATAAATATTATGGTATTTTTGTACCCAAAATAATATAACTAAATTATTATTGGTGATTGAAATATTTAAAAATAATCGAATTATTGTTCGTAGAATTGGTCATAGGTTGTTGTTAAATGAACATTTCAAATAAGAAATCACTTGTGCTCCAACGTGCAAATCGTTAGGTCTAACTCCTGATTTTGCAGTGTGGTTTTTGTCGATATTGTATTATACAATATATTATATACAGACATTAGTAGAGAAGTTTAAAACAATCATATAATAATGGCCAATTTGTCGAATGAAGAGCTATTGATGATAGCAGTACTTTTAGATGAAGAAGAAGAAGAATTAAAAATAAAAAGACGAACAAGGAATGTTTGGGTACATCCAGCTTGGCAGAAACGTACTTTTGAAGGCGAATTCGTCACATTATACAAAGAGCTTGTCGATGATGAATCCAAATTTTATCAATACTTTAGAATGACCATGTACAGCTTTAACAAACTACTGAATACTATTGAAAGTGAAATTCAACGACAAGATACACGCTTCCGGAAATGCATATCACCCAGACATCGTTTAGCTGTTACATTGAGGTAAGAAGTAAGAACCATGATTAATTTAAATGTCATTTAAAATATTTATTAAAATGATAATAATAGTTAGTTATTATAATGAATCACGCTCCAATATGCTGTCGGCCCCTGGTTGATAATTTTGACCTTCTATATTGGTCCCGGTCAGTGGATAATTATGAGGTGACCAAATAGGCTGCGCATTATAGTTCGGTGCAATATTTAACTGAGGTACCGGGTTTTGTTTTCTCATAATTTGTTGCATTTCCATATCTTGGACGATATTAAAAATTTTAGACTTGGCCAAGTTTAAAAAATATGGGTCGAATGTCTTCATTGTGCTCCCAATGCCTAATAAAAATGCATCCACTGGATCGGATGTCTTTTTCTCTTCATTCTTTTTGGTTTCCAATAAGTACTTCATCACCGTCGACGAGGCTGTTTCCGCAGTTTTTTTAAAATTTCCAGAGGTTTTAGAATTTTTTTTATGAAATACTTGATTGTTACCTAAACTTTCTACGGGCACTGATGTTTGACCTGTTGATTCGTTCAAATATTGAGATGTGGATTGATGTTCATACTCTTCTTCTCCTTCTCCTTCTGTTCCACTCTCTTCGGTACCAAAACTAGAGACTGTGGGCCTTTCTTGAAAGTAAGGTGTTAAAAAACTTAATTGTTCCTCAAATTTATATTTAGGAATTTTTTTAGCTGCCTGACCAGATGTAGTTTTTTTTTTATTTGTGATTTTACGATATTGGTCACGAATGTTTATCCATCTTGCTTTACAAGCTGAAGCTAAAAAAATGTTTGTTTATTATTTGTTAGACTTATACTTGAAGTTTAAAATTTTACATTAGGTACAATATCTACTAGTAAAAAAATACACATCGTAAAATCCATAGGTTGGCATTAACTAGTTAAAAAGTTATTTTTTTTTTTTAACTTTTTAACTTAACTAGTCTGCAGTAAATTATGAACTTAACTAGTTTAATTGAGAGTTAAAATAACTTAATTTTCCTCAGTATATTTAAAAAAAACCATCAAGTTAAACAATTTTGGAATTTGGAATTTTGATTGTTTTATACGTAAATATTAATATTAAAATAAAAATTAAAATAATCCAATACTATAATAATACAAACATTTCTGTTATTTTCTGGATAAAATAATTTTGTAAATATATATATTTTAGTAGATATAGACATAATATTTTATGACCTTAAATTGTTATTTTATATAGAAAAATTAATATAATATGTTCAATTATTAATTGTAATGTGTTGGTATAGTTTAAATATTTAATAACCATGTAAAGTAAAATAGATAGGTACTATTATTATTACTATTATTTATATTTTTTAATGTAAAAATTATTATTTATTAGATATTTGGCCACTGGAGACTCCCTAAAAACCATTTCGTTTAGTTATCGTCTGGGTCATTCAACTGTTTATACGATTGTTATCGATACATGTAGAGCACTTATAAAAAAGTTGATGTCTGAAGTTATGCCAGTGCCCACAGAAAACAAGTGGAGGGAAATTGCTGAAGATTTCTGGGCACATTGGAATTTTCCGAACTGTATTGGAGCCTTGGATGGCAAACATATAGTTATACAAGCTCCGCCCAATAGCGGATCATTATATTTTAACTATAAGAAAACCTTTTCCATTGTGCTCTTGGCTCTCGTTGATGCCCACTATAATTTTATTGCTATAGATGTAGGTGCGTATGGCAAAAATAGCGATGGTGGAATACTTATAAACTCAAAGTTAGGTAAAATGCTTGAAACAAACAATATGAATGTACCATCCAGCTCTACACTTCCAGGAACATCATATACTGCGCCATTTGTAATATTAGGTGATGAAGCATTTCCTCTTAAAAGCTACTTACTCCGACCCTATCCCGGAAAACAATTGGATTGTGAAAAAAAGAGGATTTATAATTATCGACATTGCCGCACGAGAAGAGTTGTTGAAAATGCGTTTGGGATTTTAACTCAAAAATTTCGAATATTTAATAGGAGAATACAAGCTAACCCAGAAAACGCCGATCTTATTGTGCTAGCATCATGTGTCTTACATAACTTTATAAAAATATACGATTGTAAATCTTCTTATAGTAGGAACGTTACTGAATGTACACAGTTAAATGAAACTACGCTAAATACTATACAATTTCAAGGCGGAAATGCGAGTCAAGAAGCATTTCATGTAAGGGAGCTTTTTACAGATTTTTTCAATTCACCTAGTGGAACAGTTTCGTGGCAAAATGAGTACATTTAATTTTTATTTTTATCTTAAATATAAATAAAAACGTGTAGTTATTATTATTAATTATTATGTATACATTTAATTTAGGTAACTAACTAAGCAGATACCTCCTAAGTATATTATTATATTATAGGTATATTAAAAATCTATAGACTTAGAAAAACTACAGTTTGTTATTAATAATAAAATAAGGAAAACAATTTAATAATTTGTTTTAAAATTTAAAAATGTCATTTTGTAATAATATACGTTATTTAAGCACAGTATTGCTATTAAGTTGTATGAAATAAGTAGGTAGGTACTTAATTATTACTATATAGGACATAGGTATAGTATATTATGTATGCATTATAACTGTTTATATAAATGTTTTAAATATACCTGGTTGGTTTAATTCTTCGCCTATAATTTTCCAAGTACGATCTTTCCAAGTGCTATCGCTATATTTTTTATCACCAAGATCGTACAGCCCAGAGTGTGCTCGCACACATTCAATTAATTTTTCAGCATTCATTTTAAATTTTATGACTATAGTGAAAAACTGACAACTGATAGTAATACTGAAGTACTGCACTTGGTAACTGAACTATAGTGTAGTAACTGAACTAATAAGTAATATTTATAGCAAAATGCGATTCTATCCATATCCGGCCCGGCCACTCATTCCCACTACAACGATTCAAAGAAAAACCCGGACGGATACCCGTGAAAGAATCGTCGCGAAGAATATTTTTAGCGCCCGTCCACGGCCCGTTTCCCCGTTCCGTCGTCGCTCCGGACTAATATGAACGTTTATATTTAAAAACACAGGAACAATATTTTTTCCAGGCACGGACGGGTTCCGGACGGATTCCGGTCCGTCTCCGTTCCGTCGTAGTGTGAATAGACCTTTATATTGTACTCGAAACATACGCGATGGTCAGATAAGATACCAGATACGATCGACTTTTTCTGTTGTAATAATAACGCTACCTATCGAACGTACAATCGACGGGTTTTTCTAACTGCTCGAGTCTACTGTAATGTAGGTATCGAGTATATAATAAAGAAGGAATCAGTTTTTATAATTATTGCAGTTTAGTGTTGTTTTTTTTTTTTTAGACAACACATTTCTAAAAAAGGTGGGCAAGTGGGTGTCGCTCTGCTGTACAGTAGGTTACAAGTGGGTCACTGTATAATGTATAATATTAAATTTGAATTCAACGATATAATATCATTGTATAAGAAAAACGATTCTGAGCGGAGACGGTATGTCAGTCTAGGTATAAAACATATTTTATACATAGGTATCTATGGTATTAAACAAAAAATTGACCTATAATAGGTACCTATAATAAATTCCAAATTAATCATATCACAATATCCATTAGGTACTTATAACGCGTTATACATCAACAAAAACCGTGATACTATCATAGTAGACTTTAGAAATTTCAAGTACCCACGAATAATATTATACAATCACAACAAAATAACTAAAATAGTTATTCTAGGTTTTTTTTTATGTAATTTCGTCCAAATTTGAATTTAAAATGTCTGTAAAAAATAACTGTGTTCATATATTGTTTAGATTTTTTGGTTACAGTATGTACTATTTATGAGAACCTTTGTTTTAAATTTTGCAATCCTTAGCTATAAAAACTGAACATTTTATAATTTATTAATTACAATGATTGATAATTTTCGAGATTTTGATAAATTTTGTCAAAATTCGATCTTTAAATGCTTTTTTTTTTTTTTTTTTTTTATTGAACAAACATAATATATTTACAATCTGTATTTACAAGTGATACAATAAGTAAATGGGATGATTTTTGGTAAACAGGAGGGGGAAGTCACCCAGTGGCGGCACCCCGTTAAATGCTTAAAAAAAAAAAAAAAAAAAAAAAAAAAAAAAAAAAAATTGTGCCTATGTATTTTTAATATTTTTCAATTGCTATTGTAACAATATATCAGGATGAGCCTTGTATTAAACTTTTACACTTTTTGGCCCAACAGACAAAACTTTATTGATATTTATAGAAAAAAAAAAAAAACTAAAAAAATTCAAAATTCAAAATGTCCGTAAACAGCTCAAAAAGAAACAAAATATTTTCAAAATTTTACAGTGTATAGGAAATGCTAATATGAACATTCAGTGAATTTTTCATGTATCTACAGTTATTCGTTTTTGAATTACAACAAAATAAGGAAATCAATTTTTGAGCCTTCTATTAAATTTTTAAGCTTTCGCAACCAACAAATAAATTTTTATTGATATTTTTAGAAAAAAAACTTTAAAAAAATGGAAAATGAAAATGTGCCTAAACAGTTCAAAATAAATCAAAATATTTTGAAAATGTTATGGTGTATATAAGATGCAAATATAAACAACCAGTGAAAATTTCATGTATATACGTTGATTTGTTTTAGAGTTACACCAAAAACGAAAATCGATTTTTTTGGAAAACCGACTTTGAGTAAAAATTCCCGTTTTTCCTTAAATTTCATGTTGTTAATCTTGTCGCTTGTGAAAACTATTGGGAATTTTAAATTTTGACCTCCTAAAAGTACCAACTAGATTCACTTTCCCATCGAACAAGTTACTGAAGTTGAAAATCGAAGCATTATTTCGACTCGACTACTAATCGTGTACACAGACACAAAAATAAAAATAAAATTAAAAATTAAAAAAAAAAAACACACATCATTGTAAAATCAATACATTCATGGGTTCACTCAGAATCTAAAATGTTGGCCTGCGATGCTAAGACGTATATCAAATTTGGCCCACCGTAAAAAAGGTTGGAGTCCCCTGTACTAGACTACTAGAGAATAAAATATAGGTATCTATCAATTAATATCACTTTAAAAGTGCAAATACATCATATAAGGTATACCTACTTTGATGTAAATGATGTGTATCTATGTATGAGTCTGATGTAGGCTAGGAGGTACACGTCTTTTCACACGAATGGATCTTCGCAGGAAAAAATTTTTTGTGTCCGTATATAATATTGCCTACATTTAGCCCCTTTTTGCAGTTATCAAAATGTGACAACATTGATAAACCGATAACATAATTTTCATTATAAATTATAATATTATATTTTATTATATTAATTATAATTAAAATAGTTAAATACATTAATAGTTAATAAGTTATTAAAAAACACAATATCGTAATTTAAAATTTAAAAATACACAATTCATTGAGAATACAGTATAAATGTACAACCTATTTACGTGGAACATTATTTTAAATTTTCAATCTTTAGCTATAAAAGGTAAATTATATAATACAATTTTAAATTTGATAAATATTTTCAAAATTCGAACTAGTACCCAGATAGCAATTGTGTAATGATATTATTATTATTATAGTACACAAATATTGTTATAAAAATATTGTTATTATAATAACATAACTATCCAACTAACATGATATTTTTACATTATAAATTATAATTAAAATAGTTAAATACATTAATAGTTAATAAATTTAATAATACACAATTAAAAAAAAACACAATATTCATTATTCACTTACGATCGTCATTTAAAAGATACAGTTCAACAATATATTAAGAAATTCATTTTCTTTTAGGGCTATAAGAATGATCGTCATATGAATGAACGTTTAAAACACTTGTATTATAATTTAGTAAGGATTTTCTTATTATATTACCTTCACTCGACGACAATTGATGAAATTCAAGTTTATTTTTTTTATTTTTAGTAAAGAAACGTGGTTGTTTTTCAATATTTTTTTTTATGTTAATTGTATTTATATCTTCTGTTTGCATAGGTTTTGATTCGTTTGTAAGTAATTCAATAATTTTATTGCAATGTTTTAAAATATGTTTTTTTGTGTACTGTAATAATAATAATATCATTACACAATTGCTATCTGGGCATTAGTTCAAATTTTGAAAATATTTATCAAATTTAAAATTTAATTATATAATTTAACTTTTATAGCTAAAGATTGAAAATTTAAAACAATGTTCCACGTAAATAGGTTGTACATTTATACTGTATTCTCAATGAATTGTATATTATTAAATTTTAAATTACGATATTGTGTTTTTTAATAACTTATTAACTATTAATGTATTTAACTATTTTAATTACATTTAATATAATAAAATATAATATTATAATTTATAATGAAAATGATGTTATCGGTCTATCAATGTTATCACATTTTGATAACTGCAAAAAAGGGGCTAAATGTAGGCAATATTATATACGGACACAAAACATTTTTTCCTGCGAAGATCCATTCGTCTTTTCACAGGGTGCTACTGTTGCGCCATTTTTGTTGAGTAAACGTAATTACCACTGATTATAAGTACAACCGTCAGGCACGTATCGAAGATAATTTTATTGGGAGCCCAAAGTTGGTAGTTTGGCCAACTCTAAAAATTGATCCGGGACAACTTGTTTATGTTATCTTTTTGGAGCCATTTTATCGTAATTAGGCTGTTAGAATGTTTTTATTATAATATAAGTAAATAACAAATTTACAAATACTCATTACTCATAAGTTATAGATAGTTACTAGGTAGTAGGTAGGTACTGGTAGTGTACCTATGTACCATTAATTAGGTAAAAAAAAGGTAGTCAGGTGGGGAGATGTAGTGGCGTACGCAGGATTTTTCAATGGGGGGGGGGGGCTGAAAATTAGTAATTTTTATTTTGTCCAGTCTAATGATTTCAGACGTTTATTTGAGGTAGGTATTTTAAAATGTTTGTAACTTTTCAACTTTTCTGGTCGAAAAAATGCTCTGATCATAAGCTTCGATGCCCGGTGTATGTTTTTGGAAGCAAATTGGGTGTAGTTGGTATCTACTTTTAGGAGGTCTAAATTGAAAATGCTCAGTGCTTTTAAAATAATAAGAGAAAAAAAATGAAAATGTATTAAAACTGTTTGGTAACCAGCTTGGTTATACCACAGAATAGATTAAATATCTATTCTGTGGTTATACCGTCCTCACTTGGATTGTATTTGATTACCTTGGTAATAAACATTTTTTTTTCTATAAATGTCAATAAAAAATTAGGTATTCATCCGATCAAAAAGCTTAAAAATGTAATACTTAATTTTTTATTATAGCTAAAATATTAACGATACCTACATAGGCATCATGGTTATTGGTTTTTTTTATAAGCATTTAAAGTTCAAATTTCGTCAAAACCACAGTTAATTTATAGTTCAAAACTTTTAAATATTAAATTTGTATAAGACTAGACAATTTAATACAAGTAGTTCATACTTTTACCGAAAAGTTACATATAATTTTAGGAAATTTGGTATGCAAATACAATGTTTTTTCCAAAATGAATTCATTCTGGTAAGGCGTGTATGAAATTTACGACTTGCTTACTATGGTTGACAGTTGAAACCTGGTAAATATATTTTTTTAAGTAATATAATACGGGAAACGGGGAGGGGGCTTCAGCCCGTTAGCCCTCCCCTGCGGACGCCACTGGGGAGATGTTTACATGGGTAACTATACTGCAGGGATCGTGATCGAATGGCCAATCTTTAGACTTTTAGAGGAATATTGTAGTAACCCAAGTTCCTACGTAACATTAAAGGTCATCCCAACAGGTACCATACTTGGCCTAGTATACTGTAGGTAGGTAATAATCAGATACGTCAAATAGAAATTAGAAACTAACTAGTTACTCTTCGATTGTATTGTAGTATAGAATAATCAAGTGCCTTTGGGAGATATAGTGACCAAAACTGAAGGATAAAATTTTACAATTAATCATTGTTGGCTCAGTGGGAAATAATATTCAAAATAATACCACAGCAGATTAACACGATTCTAAAATCGTACAGAGTAGACGGATGTGGTATTTGCAATAGCATTATATGACGGATATCCAATATAAAAATAGAATGATTATTTTAATGAAATATTGTTATACTCAGAATAGATTAGGAAATTTGCAAATGCGGTTTAAACGTGGGTTTAACCGTGGGCTAGGTCGATGGCCACATCCGTGAGAGCCGAGATACAGTATCAATAGGTAAGGGGAGAGGGGACCGGGCTGCATCCGAATTGCATGCCAAAAAAAAAATTTCAAAATTGCATGCCATCTCTTAGAGGGGTCTGTCCGAATTTCATGCCTCGAACCACATGTTTATTTATTATGCACTGAAACAACTTAAACTTTTTTTGGACTTTCCTAATGTATAGAAACGCTATTTTATCTATGGTTGTTAGAATAATTGATTAGTTTCTAGATTGAAATGTTTTTATATCCGAGTAAATATTTTCCCAAACTGTATCTATATTGGAGTAATGTACTAATGTAGTGTATTGTAGTCTGTTTCACAGACATAGACACAAGCGTATCGGTTTTAGTAGCTATATTTATATGCTTTTATAATTTATAAGTTATTATAATATTTGTTCGCGCCCCGACCTAGGTGCCACTGGCTAACGTCCTTTTGCCAGTGTTGGCGACACTGAGTTGGACGCCTTTCGACACTCACTGCCGTCTCGCTTCGACGTTGGTGTCTACTCTCGTTCACTGTCAGTTCGACTTACTACCGTTTATTTGCTATAAATATAGTTGTTTTTTTTGGCTTATGCTTTAAAATACATGTGGTTATTGATATTATGAAAAGTTATTGCTGTCAATTAAGTAAATAAACCTCTAGTTGACAAAAGTTCACATTTAGCCAGTTCGGTACTGATACAGCTTTGTCATAAAGTGTTGTATCCATTCCTTGTGCAAGATACACGTGGCCAGTTCATCCACACCTGCCAGTTCGGTCAAACCCAACCCGTCAGCTCGACACCTCAAGTTCATCCAAATTCATCTTCGTCATCAGCAGCTCCGCATTTCCCTATTTTTTGTAATTGTAAGGAGCAATTCCATAATGTTAAAATATTTATATTGTTTTTAGTGGTAAGTTGTTTATTCTAGGTGGATTGGCCGTCCCCTAGTACGTTGTATTATTATATGTCTCATGTAATAAAAGTAATGATAATTTGTTAATTAATGTTATAATTTTAGTAATTACCAATTCCTAGTGTGGTGCGAGTCGTAGGTGCCAACCTTGGTATAAGGAGTGCTGTCGGCGTAAACATTGGTAGCAGAGCGTGGTTTCAAGATAAAGGTGCAGCATCACTACTGAATTGAGGTATATTGGTCATATTGTTGTCATATAAGTACATATCCTTCCTAACGATAGTTCCTATTTAAGTTATATTGTTTTATAGATACATAAGGGTTATAGTATAATTATAATAAATATTTTTCAATTACACATATCATCAGTCAGGTGTTATTAGCTCAATAGGATATTTTATAAAGTTAGTGTTTTTACATATTGGTTTTTTTTTATATTTCTTAATGCCCGCCCTAATCTATTAAGTTAACTAAAGCACAGCTCGTGTCTAATTGGTATTAGGGCCCCCCACAAAGGACTGAATACATTTATTTTAATATTGTTTAGTATTAATATTTTATTGTTGCTGAGAAGGATGATATATCAAACCAATTTTGTTGTTATAGTTGTCAGTGTTGTTATGGTGGTCATTAGATAGCGTTAGCTTCACTTATGATACATTTATTTTATTTTTTGACTGTTTATAGTTTTTTCTAAATAGTTAAATATTTTTATTAGTTTGTTCATTGTATTGTATCATTGGTTCACAAGTTAGTGACTGATTAATTGTTAATGATTTAATTTTATTTGTCTGGTTATGCTATTTAGTTATAGCCTGTCGTTTATTGTTGATTTGTTTGTTAGATTCTAGTTCAGTTTTATATTTGGTTACTGTCATCTCAATTTTTAGGTCTTATTTCATGGTTGATATTGGTTGGTTATTTTGTTCAGTACTTAACTATTCTATCTTAATATTGTTTTTTTTGTTATTTACCTTATTAAAGGTTATTGTTACAACTTAATAAGCTTACAGTTGTTGTCAATATATTATTATTCAATAATATATCATTTATAGATAATTGCCTTGTTCTGTTGTTAGTTATTCAACATTTATTTATCTAAGTAAATTGTTTTCTGTTTGTATAAAAATATCATCTTATACCTAAGTGGTTATAGTTAATAGCTTACTAGTCTTGTCTAGGTGTGTATTTGTTTTATTATCATGGGTGATAAGGAACGTCTGACGCGTAACAAGCAGCGTGCCGCAGTGAAACGTGATGCAGCTGCTAGCCATATCGAGTCAATTTATACTTTGGGTTTATCTGCTTCTACTGACAGTTCTGTCATTCCCAAATTCCTTATAGCCAGTGAAGATATCCAGAATCATTGGGAAACGTTCACCCTTGAGAATGACACCATGTTAGAAGCTATGATTGAATTGGGTACGCATGGTGAATTTTCCAATAACGTTGAATTGGAGGTTCAAAATACTCTACTTAATGTTAAAGCCTTGGCAAATAAATTCCGCTCTAGTTCAGATGCTGGTGTTGCGGCTAGTGTCACTAGTAATAATGACAAACCGGGTTCTGACATTGTTAACGATAACGTTGATTCGGTATCAAATCCTACAACTCAAGTAGGTCCGCTCATCGCTAGTACAGCCCCTTCCGATTCAGGTGTTCAGTTACCCAAGATTCCATTGCCTACCTTTGATGGTCGCCTTCAAAACTGGCCAGACTTTAGAGACCGTTTCACCATTTTAGTGGGCAATAGGACACACCTGAGTAATATAGAGAAGTTTTATTACTTATTAGGATGTTTACAGTCTGGTCCTAGTGATGTAGTCAAGGGTATCACGGTTTCGGAATCCACTTATGAACTTGCTTGGTCTGCCTTAGTTCAAAGGTATGATAAACCTCGTCAGTTGGCTACTACTTTGGTTAATGAAATGCTCAATGCTCAAATTAACCATCAGGAATCTCCTGCAGTACTAATTAATTTTTTGAATACCTTTTGTGAGAACATAGCTCTTCTTCAGTCATTGAATATACCTGATTTAGGTTCATTCCTGTTATTTGCAATATCAGTTCGTTGTTTGCCTTCAACTACACGCCGTCTGTTTGAACAGGGAAACACGGCTGATTTTCCTACTGTTGATAGTCTATTATACTTTGCCAAAGATAGGGTAGAGGTGTTGGAAAACTCTGGTTCATCTTTGATCCAGGCCACAGTTAAGCCTCAAGCAAAGCTCGTCTTCAATAAACCTAAGCATACAAATTCCAAGCCAAACCAATCGGCCTCTAAGGCCCCTCGAAGCCATCAAGGTTCTCCAGTGGCGTTAGTTGCTAACAAACCAGCTGGAGAGTCTCATCGTTGTGAGCAGTGTAACGGTTCTCATTCTTTAACGTCATGCTCTACCTTTAAGGACTTGTCGATCGATGATCGCTACGCTTTAGCGAGCAAGCACAGGTTGTGTATGGTTTGTTTCGGTAGCAATCATTGGGCAAACAAATGTAAGTCCTCATGTTCTGTTTGTCACGGTCGTCATCACCAGCTGTTACATCGAGATAATTCCCATGCCAAGATACCTCCAAGCAAGGATCCTGTTGCATCGTATATTGGCACTCAACATTCCAGATCGGTCTTGTTGGGCACCGCTTCAGTCAATGTCTGTGATGTAGCTGGGTGTTTTCAGCCAGTTCGGGCTTTGATTGACCCCGCTTCCCAAGTGAGTCTAATGACCTCTGAGTGTGTTAAACGTCTAGGTCTATTCTGTGAACAGTGGACAGTCCCAGTAGCTGGTCTAGCAGGTCAGTTAGTGCAATCCATCAATGGCAGAGTGCAGATCAGCATCCAATCGGCTACAGATGGCAGCATGATCAACCTTTCTACTTGGACTATGCCTAAAATAACAGGGTCAATGCCATCGGCACAACTACCAGTCTCCGTCAGGAACAAGTGCTCTCATCTAGTTTTGGCAGATCCTAATTTTGACTCACCAGCTCCGGTTGAATTGCTGCTTGGTGCAGATGTATTCCCTCAAGTGATCCGCAGCAGAAGACATGACTTAGGTGTTGGATTACCTACTGCCTTTGATACTATCTTCGGTTGGATTCTTCTTGGTCCAGTTGATCCATCTCTACCAGCAGCTCCGCAACAGACTATGATGATTTCTTTATTAACAACTTCAATTGAATCTCTAGTTGAGAGATTTTGGAAGATTGAAGAACCTGATGAGGCGCCACAATCATTCACTGAAGAAGGAAGATGTGAAGAGATATTCGCTCAGGAAACTTACCGTGACAGCTCTGGCAGATTTGTGGTGCCACTTCCTTTTCGTACCCCACCTACATCATTCGTTTTTCATGGCTCCCGCCAGTTGGCACTTGTTCGCTTTGAACGTCTAGAACGTAAATTGATTCGGGACAAACCCTTATACTTGGCTTACCAGCAGTTTATGGCGGATTATGAATCCCTCGGTCATATGTCACCTGCCAAGTCTCCTGGTTCATATTTTATCCCTCACCATGCAGTTCACAAGATGGAAGGGGACAACATGAAGCTCAGGGTAGTGTTTGATGCGTCAGCTCGACCTCCTTCAAACACCTCCCTTAATGATGCTTTATTTGTGGGTCCTAAGCTCCAACAGGATATAGTGGACATACTACTTCGTTTTCGTATCCACTCAGTTGTTTTTACAGCTGACATTTGTAAAATGTACAGACAGATTTTGATAGCTCCTAAGTACCGTCAGTACCAGCATATTCTGTGGAGAGCGTCTCCTCACGACAAAGTTCAAGAGTTTGAATTGAACACTGTCACCTATGGTGTTGGAACAGCTCCCTATCTAGCGCTGAGAGTGTTGAAGGAAATAGCGGTTGTCTATGGTCAACAATATCCTCTGGTACAGGCAGCTCTTATGTATCAAACTTACATGGACGACATTTGTACTGGGGCAGATAGCTTCCGGGAAGCTCAAGCCCTGAAAGATGATTTGATTTCTATTCTCAGCCAGTTTGGCCTAGAGTTAAAGAAATGGGCTAGTAATTCTCCTCAGCTGTTGGATAACATACCTTCGGAAGACAGAGCAGCTGGTTTTCTCCCATTCAACATTGACAATTCACCTCAAGTGCAGATTTTGGGTATGAAGTGGAATCCTGATGTCGACACCTTCAACTACAATGTCAGTTCAATCAAGTTTGTTTCATCCAAACGTAGTATGTTGTCGGTGATTGCGCGAATCTATGATCCACTTGGTTTTTTATCCCCTGTAATTTTTCATGCTAAGCATCAGTTGCAATGTGTTTGGCGGTCTGGTGTTTCATGGGATGATCGGCTTCCGTTGGAACTAGAACATTCTTGGATGTCCTTTGTTAATGAGTTACATTATCTATCTACGATTCAAGTACCAAGGTTCGTTGGTACCTCTGAAGGGTCACAATATGAATTATGTGGGTTCTCTGATGCTTCTATCAAAGGCTATGCAGCTGTAGTTTATTTAAGAGTATCAGATCGCCACCGTAGGGTCTCTATGTTCTTGCTAGGTAGTAAGACCAAACTGGCACCAACCAAAGCCATGTCTATTCCTCGCCTTGAGCTCTGTGGAGCTGGATTGCTCGCTCGTTGGTTAAGTCGCATTCAGATCACTCTCTCGACTCAGATAACTATCCATAACGTTTTTGCTTGGTCTGACTCGTCAGTAGTGCTATCTTGGTTAAAAACCCCCCATGTGTCGTATAAGATTTTTGTATCTAACCGTATTCATAAGATAAATTAATTGTTACCGTCTTGTAGTTGGTTTTATGTTAGCACTGACATGAACCCAGCAGATTGTGCCTCTCGAGGTTTACGACCTGGTGAGCTAGCTCAGCATGATCTTTATTGGAAAGGTCCTACCTTCCTCCACCAGTTCGGTGAGAGTTGGTCGTCAGAAGTTAATTTGATTCCCTCAGACCAGTTGCCTGAGGTCACAGGTCCTGTGTCTTGTGTTGTTGAAACTACAGAAGAGTCGATTGAGTGGTTCTCTCGCTTCTCGTCTCTAAATCGTATGTTGAGAGTTATTATTCGTTTACAACGTCTTATTAAATTGTGTCGCAAGGTCTCGGTAGACACTAGTTTCCTTTCATACCAGGAGTATAATGATGCATTGACAGCTGTAATCAAGTGTTCACAAGGTGTGTTCTTGAAATCCTTGTTTCTTGAGTTATCTTCTGGTAAGGCTGTCTCCTCTCGGCCACTTGCACGTTTATCGCCGTTCATCGATGACTGTGGTGTCATCCGAGTAGGAGGTCGTCTTCGTCATTCCTTGCTATCAGATCGACGCAAGTTCCCAGTCCTGCTGTCAAAGGCATCATATTTGTCATTACTAATTGCTCGGCATTGGCATCTGTTTGCTTGTCATGCAGGTCCACGTCTCATGTCAGCTTTAATATGTAGACAGTTCTGGATAGTGGGCGATCGCTCTGTTATTCGTCGCGCAATTAGTGAATGTACTGTTTGTGTCAGGTTATCAGCTCGTAACCTGCAGCCGGTCATGTCCGATCTACCTGACTTTAGAGTTCAGCAATGCCATCCTTTTTCTAGTGTGGGCATAGATTATGCTGGTCCCCTTATTATGAAGGAGACTAATCTGCGAAAGGCCCGACAATATAAAGTTTATATTGCTGTTTTTGTTTGCATGAGTGTCAAGGCAGTTCACCTTGAGCTTGTGACTGATCTGTCAACCGATGCCTTCCTGGCGGCATTCAACCGCTTTGTAGCTCGACGAGGATTGCCATCCGCAGTATATTCAGACTGTGGTACTAATTTTGTTGGTGCATCGAAAAGGCTACATGATCTAGTTAATGATCCAAGGAATCGCGAGCAGTTTAGCTCAGCGTTTGTGTGTTCATGGAATTTTAATCCCCCCAGTGCACCTCATTTTGGTGGGCTCTGGGAAGCAGCGGTACGTTCTACAAAGCTCTTGTTAGTACGGGTGGTTGGCAATCAGGTGTTGTCCTATGAGGAGTTTTCTACGGTCTTGTGTAGAATAGAGTCTGTACTTAACTCAAGACCACTAACACCATCGTCTAATGATCCAAACGATCTAGATTACCTTTCCCCAGGTCATTTTCTTGTTGGTCGACCCTTGTGTGCAGTGCCTAAAGCTGAGGTCCCTGTCAGTTTGATACACCTTAGAAACCGTTGGAAGCTCCTCCATCAGGTATTTCAGGCATTTTGGCGTCGTTGGTCTAACGAGTATTTACACACCCTTCAGACCAAAGGACGTTGGTTAATTAACCAAGAAAACATTAAATTGGGGGAGTTAGTTATTATTAAGGACAACACTTCTCCTCCTTTACTATGGAAACTAGGTCGCGTCCAAGAGCTTCTACCAGGTCCAGACGGAGTGGTTAGGGTAGTAAAATTACTCACCAAGCAAGGCCTTATAACAAGACCAGTAGTGAAGCTGGTCCCACTTCCTACTCATTAAACATATTTTTTTTATTTTTTTTATTATTAATTTATATAATGTTCCTACAGTTTCCTTTTTCTTTCCTCTATATTCTATTTGTATGACAATGATATGATTGCGGTATGTAAAGTGCTACTACGTTGACGGCCCTTGTGTACCGAGTGTTGGCTCCTATGGCTTCACATTGCATTATGGGTAATCTCATTATATTATTATTTTTATTTACATTTTTTTTTGTTAATTCATTTTGTTAATTGTTATGTGATAATAGTCATGTTTGTTATATGAGGAATTGCTCAAGTTGTAAAAAAAAAAAAAATGTATTATCCCTTATTTAACTGCTCAAGATCAGTCCTATCATCATCAACTACAGTTCCAGTTCGGTTCAGTTCCAGATCAGCAGATCGCTTGTTCCACTCTCTATGTACAACTCGGCTCAAGTATTAAGTTGTGATACACTATATATCACAAGGGGGAGTATGTTCGCGCCCCGACCTAGGTGCCACTGGCTAACGTCCTTTTGCCAGTGTTGGCGACACTGAGTTGGACGCCTTTCGACACTCACTGCCGTCTCGCTTCGACGTTGGTGTCTACTCTCGTTCACTGTCAGTTCGACTTACTACCGTTTATTTGCTATAAATATAGTTGTTTTTTTTTGGCTTATGCTTTAAAATACATGTGGTTATTGATATTATGAAAAGTTATTGCTGTCAATTAAGTAAATAAACCTCTAGTTGACAAAAGTTCACATTTAGCCAGTTCGGTACTGATACAGCTTTGTCATAAAGTGTTGTATCCATTCCTTGTGCAAGATACACGTGGCCAGTTCATCCACACCTGCCAGTTCGGTCAAACCCAACCCGTCAGCTCGACACCTCAAGTTCATCCAAATTCATCTTCGTCATCAGCAGCTCCGCATTTCCCTATTTTTTGTAATTGTAAGGAGCAATTCCATAATGTTAAAATATTTATATTGTTTTTAGTGGTAAGTTGTTTATTCTAGGTGGATTGGCCGTCCCCTAGTACGTTGTATTATTATATGTCTCATGTAATAAAAGTAATGATAATTTGTTAATTAATGTTATAATTTTAGTAATTACCAATTCCTAGTGTGGTGCGAGTCGTAGGTGCCAACCTTGGTATAAGGAGTGCTGTCGGCGTAAACAATATTATTACCTACTCTATTATTATTATTGTTTTTTTAATTTATTATTATTATTATTATATTGTAACGTAATTTTTCATTGTAATTATTCCCCTGAAAATTTTTAAACTATTTCCCCTTTAATATTAACCATTTTATAAAATGCTATGACTATTTAATTATTCAAAAAAATATGTTTCTGGTATTAGTATTATTAATATATATTTTCCATATTGACATACTTTATTATTATATATATTGTATATTTAACTTGTAATATTGTGTGCTTGAAATGTTAAAAAAAAACCCACCAAATTTTAAAATAATATTATTTATTTGAAATACTATGTAAACATGTAAAATACACTCACTTGATTACCCTAAACTACAATAGTTTTATTTAACTAATGGCCTTTGTTGTTGATGAAAAATAGTTTTATTTAATATTTATTATTCACAGTGTCACCTTCTACAGTATTTATATATTTATTTTTTTGGCATGCAATTCGGATGCACCGGGGGACCGAACTATCATCAGATTGCCAGAATATTACAATATTCAATATTCGGCAATCGTATTAAAAATGAATTATACCAATATCCGTCGATCACGTGCGCAATCATAAAGTTTTAGATTTAAACTCAATTATAGCGAAGATTGAATTATAAGATACAATTTTCTCATGGAAAAATAATAAAATAATATTATGCTGAATGTAATAAAATAAATAATATACTTATATACCTACCTAAACAAATAGTGGTCGATCGTCGATCAACAGGTACCTATTCAAAATGTTTAAAGTAGCCCATTTGTTGGAAAAGTTCGGTGATCTCTGCTGTAATGGATGTACTAAACTAGAATGATTTTGATTAATTTTTTCAATATATTTGATTATTTGAACCGGAAAAACGAAAATATAGAAAATTCTGAAAATGACCTAGCAAAATATAGAAAATTCCTAGCAATTTTTAGATATTAAAATTAGTCCTAGCTTATTGTGCCGGGGGCAATTTGATAGAAATTTTAAAATGATTATGAAAAACATTGTTCTGATGTAGGTATTTCCGATATACATATTAATTGGTATATGAACAACTACCGTGGTCCGGGGTTGTCGTGGCCGAATATTTGAAGGGGGGGGGGGTATTACGCACCAGCACCACCTCCATAGATTCACCTCTGACAACCCTAGCCACTATTATATTTTAAGGACATTTTCAATTTTCAATTTTATTTGGTCTTGTAGTTGCTTAAAAAATTGAAGTCTGATATTATTATATAAGTATAATTATGTAGATTGTAATTTGTAGGTGTAGAGGTACCTACGACCTACCTATAGCTTAGAGCCCGTATTATCATAGTCGATCCCCGGTTAAACCTCGGAATTAAGCCGGTAAAATCAGTAGGTAAAATCAGCTTAATCGAAGTGTAATCGACGATTGTAATTTGTAATACGGGCGTTTATAGGCCACCGGTCACCACTACACGGCCCTTCAACATATTTATTACGGCCCCTCGTACGTCCGCGCTAAAACTGAATTTTACATTCTAAAATCCCACAAATTTAAATGTTTTATTAAAATAACATTTTTTTTTAACTTTCATTACTTTTAATGGTACCTATTTTGTTCTTTTACAATTTTTTTTTATATGATTTATATATACTTTTATATGATGTAGGCGATGTACCCAGGTACCTACTCGGCTACACTGAAAACGATGGTAATGTCAGAATTTGGTGATCCGACTTAATTTCGAAGTTATAGCCAAATTAACTTCACGATACGAACAGTGTTATATTTTACCACACCTTTCATGATTTTTTTTTTAAACATACGGTTTATAGGTAGGCTGAATTTTATTCGGAGTAGTTAGATTTTGGTCACCGTATTTACTTTTATGTTGTATCAACAACACTGAAAAAAAAATCAATTTTAATTTTATTGATTTTCAGGAGTCTGATACTCACTTTAGTCACTATACTTTTCACACTATAAGGTGAGGATGTGATGAGGTCCAAAGGAGATCGAGTTTTGAGATCGGACCTGCTGTCAGGTGATAACCTGTTGTCTACCAGAAAAAATTGAAAAAATAGGTAATAACAATAGGTATAGAGATGTTAAAATACGGTATTTTCTTTACATATTATTGACAATTTAAATATTTATAATAAATTTTCAAAGTAAAAATTCCTATCTTCTTTCCTTCATGACAGAAAACTCGTCAATAACAGCCGATGGATTACCCATAAATTGCCCATTCATTTTATCCCTTTCTACGGAAAGTAATGTCAGAATGTCAGATCATTTAGTCTAGGACTTTCCATTATTAATCTGAGGTAAGTGTTCACTCTTAGATAGGTACAGCCGATACAGGAATTACAATAAGTCGTTTAATTACCTACATACCAACTTTTTTAATTCCCTAAATTAAACTTGATATTTGTACTTGATTCAACAATTCAGAAAGACCAGTTGAGACTTGTTTATGAGTAAGTTCTTAACATTAGATGATGAGAAAATGATGACAATAATAACAAAATACGGCATTTAAGATTTAGCATAACTGAATATTCCAACCAAGGATAAGTACCTACTTACTATATAAATATAAGTAGGTACCAACTACTTTGAAAACATCATCGATGTTTTCCACAACTAACTGTACGAGAAAAATTGTGCACAAGCAGAGTACTTTAATCACAAATTGAACTAAATCAAGAACGTTAAAAAAAAAATTGTTTGTTTGTTTTGAATCTGGTTTTACTGATATACCTATATAATGCTTAGAAAAATAGATTTGTAGCGGACCCCTTGAAACCAAAGCTTGCGCTAATGGGTAGATCTAAATTAAAATGGGGCAATTCTAAAAACCAATTTGTTCAGTACCAAAAATGGTGAATTCTCTGTATTATTGGCATTATTGTTTAATTTAATTATGTATTTTATTTAATATTTTTTGTTTGGTTTTATCTCCACAAATAATATCAATCATGAATCCATTCCATAACACATTAGAATCTAGACAGTAAACACATTTACTATTACAAGGATAGGTATAATTTGATATGTGGACCGTCACCACTCACCAAAGACTTCAATATTATTTATCATATTTAAATAATATTGAAGAATAAAGTACCTACTGTACTGTACTGTATTCAGTATGTACTATGGTATAAATGTATCCATAACTACCAATTTAAGCTTGCATTATCTTAGTTTGCATATATAAGTAGATTACATAGCTTATAATTATTTATATAATTATTCCTTTTCTGCTCTTATTGTTAAATTATACTACTATAGTTATACTATTAGGCATATTTTTTCGGTTCAAGTTTAAATGATGCTGTTTGCATGAATGGCTGCTATTACTATTATACACACAATTTTATTTAACTGTTTTATCATAAATTAATCAATATTTCAAAACTTGAATTTTAGAATAAAAGGAGTTCTGGTCTTATGAAAAAATGGCTTTATAAAAGTAAAAATACTGATATTAACATAGGTATGTTGAATTAAAATATTAAATAAAAAATACATTTTAGCGAATTTAGCTTTGATTTTGAGCAAAAAATTTATTTAATCTGCATGTACAAAAAGGTGCTCTGCTGTACAGTAGGTAACAAATGGATCGCTGTATAATGGATAATATTAAATTTGAATTCAATGATATAATATAATTTTATAAGAAAAACTATTCTGAGACGGTATGTCAGTCTAGGTATAAGACATATTATATACTTATCTATGGTATTAAAAAAAATTGACCTATAATAAATTCCAAATTAATCATATTCAATATCCATTAGGTACTTATACGCGTTATACATCAACAACAAACCCTGATACTATCATTGATATA